CCAACCCGCCCTCCGCCCACAGACCCCCAGCTCCTTGGAGACGATGCTCTCTTGGCTGTTAATCCTGGTATCCACTGTATTTGTCTAAGTAATGGAAATGTGCTATAATATTTTGATTAACAAAATTTAGACAGTATGTACTGACTTCTTGGGACAGCTGAAGCTTTTATCTTCCATACACCGTCTTTTCCCATCCAGACCCTCCCAACATGACGACATGGTTTTTTTAATTTTTATTACTTCTGGATTTTCCTGGGGTTGATAGTTGCCCCTGTTTTTTTATTGTTATTTTTCCAATGCATTGCTAACTCTCCCTTCCCCCAAAAAATGTGATGGGGAAAAAAAAGTTTCCAAGAGGCATTTTTCAGGGTGTCAAATATATCCTTTTCCTTTTCTCCTTCTTTTACAAACAGAAAGAAAAAGCACAAAACTGAGGCAGAACTAGCCCAGTTGCTGAAGCCCGCTGACCCTCACGCCCCAGGAGGCATGTGCCTGCACCAGTGGGCTCGTGCCGGTGGGGCCTCAGGCCGCCGGGCAAACCCCCAGCCCGCGCCCCATCCTGCACGCGCCCCGTTCCCCCCGTGGCAGGCTCGGGGCAGACACCTGTGAGCTGAAAGGTCGGGCTCTGCTTGGGCAGACAAGCTAGGTCGCGTTTGCCTTTGTTCCTCCTCTGAACAGAAGGCGCGTACCCCTCTGTTCAAAGTGTGCTGGCTTTTCAAAAAGCAAAGGCGCCGTGGCAGACACCAGGACTCCACACGGGGCCGGGGGGGCGGGGGTGGGGGGAGGCGCACGCTGCCTGGCGTCTGCCTTACGGCCCGGTCCCTGCTCTGTCCTCTCGTCACCGTCAACGTCTTGGCTCCAGGGTTCCAGGGATGGCTCTTGCGATGGGCCCGCAGCGTGGCAATTGCTCTGATCCCTGCTCGCTTCCCCTCCGGGGACCCCGCCACCCACACAACTGCCTCTCTTGGGATGGGACAGAGCTTGAGGACACCTGAAAATACGCTGGATTGGGAGACCTGCGTCCCAACTCTGCCTTCTCCTAGTCAGGGGACCTTCGACAGGTCACAGTCTCTCTCAGCTTCGCTTTTTCTCATTAAATGGCGTGACAGACTGCCCAACGGGACCTGCCACAGCGGTGATAATAAAACTCAGAGCCTGCCATTTGCAAAGCACAGACACGCCCACTGGCCTAGGCCACTGTTTGCTTCCTGAAAACCACACGGAACCAGCAGGCGATGCCTTCAGGGGACCCCACCCCGCCGTCAGCTTCTGCAAGAGCTGTCAGTGTCGGCGGAAGAACAGTGTCCTTACGGGGTCCTGTGGAAGTGGGTGTTACTGATCGAAAGGGTGGCCCAACGTGGTCAAAAATCAAAAGAACCAAGGTGACTCGTGAAATGTAAGACGCGAAGACCTCTGTTACCCATCCAGATCCCGCATCATTTCACTAGCGCCCGCACAGCGCCCTCAGGTCGACGTGCATTTTATCAGCGCCGTAGCTCTGGCTGCTCTGCCCTGGAAACGCATTTTGGTTTTACAATTGTGTAAGGGCCGTCGCCTTATGTTTGCGCCTATGTAAGTGAGAATACTTTAGTTTGACACCAGTATTTTGAAGATGGCGCCATCATCTGAGTTGCAGAAAAATGTCTCAGTTTGTCCGCCTCACACCCGCCGCCGAATCCTAAGACAGTCACCTTATTTGGGTGGCACACACCGATTTCTGTGGCAAGTCCAGATGAAGACTATTTCACTGTATAAAACATGTCTCCACGATCATTGCCTTTTGTGAACCGCCTGAAAGTAAAGACACAAACTTTTGTCCAGAACTCAGTCTCTCTCAATAAATCAGCGGTGAGCTGCCTCCCTCCACCAATGGCGCTATTTATTTTTAGGATATTCCCGAAAGATGAATCAAGGAGACAACGAACAAAAGCGAAACTGCCCAGCCGCTCTGTGAGGAAAAATATAAAGTTCCCAAATGAATGTGTTCCTTGAAAATACAAACCATTTCTTCTGAGCTTGGCTCTGTCATCCATCTCGGAAAAGGATGTTTTTGCAATCAGAGCAGAAATATGACTGGCCGCCCGCGTTTACATTTCTTTGTTGCACAATGAATGTAACTTGTTCAGCTTCCAGCCTGGGAGAAAGGAGCAAAAGTAGTGGTTACTTTCCAAAGTGAAACTTAAAACCACAATCTCCGGTGCACAAAAGGCGGAATGAGTCACCGGAAGAGGCCACTTGCTTGCAAAACTCATTAAAAGCAATGCGGGGCTGAATGGACTTCCTGCACCAGCGAAAAGACCTCTGGCGTGAGGACAGTTCCTCGGCCGGCAATCTGGGGAGGGGAGGAAGCCATCAGAAATCTGGGCGCAGCCCAGGTCTGCCGGATCCCAAGCGGCCCCTGCCTCATCGCAGGCAGAATCCCTGCCCAGTCCGGACCAGCTCCCGCTGAGATGCCCGGGAAGGTGGCTCGGGCCAGCGGCTGTGCACCAAAGGCCCAAGAGGACACCCTGCATTGGGTTTTCAGGGGCCTCCCTCCTGCGGCGGATCCCTTCTGCCACTCCGGCCAGGCCAGATTCAAGTTAGATGTCAGCGGCCGCAGGCCACAAGCAGCCCCCCAGAACCAGGCCCCAGGCCTTGGGGTGTCTTCTGGAACTGGAGTGTGCATCGCATCCCGGCAGGACTTCCTAACCCAGGTGCCTCCCCGCCCACCCCCGACATAGTTTGATTCAGAAGGTCAAGGGTGGGGCCCAGGAACTGGGAGTTCTAACAAGCTGCAGGCCCCCAGATTGCACTTTGGGAGCCGCAAATCCAAACGGTTCTTAGACCTGAACAGGCGCAATCACCTCTCTCCTCCAAGCCAGTCCGTGATGTGTGACCTTGAGCTGTGCCAGCTGGAAGCCCTTTGATACCCAGTCGCATAAGGAACGCCTCCCCTGCCCCCTGTGCCCTCAGCACACCTGGCTGGTCTCCAACGCAAGTGCTCAAGGGAGGGGCCCTTGTCCAGCCTGACGGTTTTCAAAAGCTGCGCCTCCATAGCAAAATGGATTGTGCCCCCAGGTGGCCATGTGGGGTCACTGACTTAAAGAGCCGACTCCTGTTTGGTCGCACTCTGGTTCCTTCAGGCACCAAGCCTTCTTGCACCGGCAGTGACACTTCAGCCCCTTCCATCACAGCAGGAGCTGGAGAAGGGGTCAGGGGCAGGAAGGGGGCTCCGGTGGCATTTTAACCACTCTCTCTTCATTTAGGGCGGAACTGCTCTCTCCCAGCCCCCTCGTTTGAAGAGCAAACAGTTCGTGTACACGTCTGGAGACATATGAGTAAGTAATGGGTGAGTGACCGCTGTCCCGGACAGCTGACTAGGACCACCCTCTTGCTAGAATAAGCAAATTCAGATTCCAGAGGAGTTAGTTTGGGGGTTGGGGGGTTTGCTTGTTTGTTTGTTTTTGACGAGGCCTGACTAACTTCCCTCCCTGGCTGTTCCCTGCCCAGGGAGCACCCTGAGGCCTCCTGCATTGCCTTCGGCAGGGAAGGGCGCTCTGAGGACACAAGCGACGGTCACTGCCCCATTATCAGCGTTCCTCAGCTTCCTCAGCCTCCGATGGACGGGGCTGGTGGGTCCGGCAGGGCGTGTCGACTTTGAAAACCAAAGATAGGAAGTACTTTAAATGTTCAGGTGTTTGCATCCGAGACATGGAGAAGTTCAAGCTACGGAAATTGTCTCCCTGCACACGTGTGCAAGCTGCCTGAGCAACGGAGCAGGAGGAGCGTGTCCGGCAGTGCCGCCGGGAGATGGTGGGCCAGGGCCAGTGCGGGTGGGGGCACTCTGGGGTCAAGGCTACAGTTCATGCTCATTTTTATTTTACCCACAAACGCGCTTACAATCTGAAACTGTGTTGGAGTAAATGTGACGTTCAACCCAACGAGGTTTGTTTTGTCCTCCACATGCACAAGCGCTCATTCTACAGACTCCCCCAGATGAGCTCTTCGGATCTGGGCTTTGCGAGCAGCTCAGCCTGGTACCCTGTGTGGCCATTTCTGAAGCATTTAGGGATCACTGCTCTTACATTTATTCCAAAAACACTTAGGCTGACGCAGGTAAATCAATAGGACGTCTCAAGCATGTCGACGATACACAAAATCAATAGGAATTATGAGTGTTCAAGCGATCTGGGTGAACTAGTCAAGGGTTTTAATTGATTTCTTCAAAATGAAAAAGGAATCAGCGCACCACAGAGCAATGAGAATCCAAAACCCATGGACCGTGAATGAGGCGAGGGAGCCTGCGCTGTTCATGCTCTGCTCTTCTGTGTGTTGTTAGTGTCTTGCCGTCTTAAAGACCTCTCTGGCTGGCGACAGTGGACAGCGATTGCTTAGAGGCAGCAATGGGCCCCACGGGAGCACACCTGTGGAATTCACGACCTCCTGTCTGGTCCGTCCACCCCAGAGGCACGAGTTCCCTGCCTTAGTGGTCCCAAGGCCAGGTGCCAGGCCGCCAGGGACCGGCCCTGCCGCTTAGAGGCCACTGAAACGAGGCAACCCAGCCAACCCTAAGCCATCCACGCAGGCCCACCGTGTTTCCCACAGAAACCCCGGAGAGAGCGTGAGCTCCCCCTCGCTCCCGTCTTCTGCCAACGCACCACCCAGGTGCTTCCCCACGGGCCCCGTGTGGCTCGGCCTCCCGTTTCTTGGGCCTGTGAGTGGAACACACTTGGTTTTCCTGAGCCTCTCCAGTGTCTTCTCATGGCCACACCTGAATGGCCACCACATAAAAGGACACAGGACAGAGGCGGCTTAGTAAGAGCCACGTGGGAAACACTGATTGCAGGCCAGGCCCTGGGTGGGTCTCCAGGGACAAGAGGTGAGTGAGCCCTCCCTGCTCCCAAGCCAGTCCCACGGGTGGGACACACCCTGGGGGGCCGCCCTTTCCCCTCCCTCTTCCCCCTGCCCCCCTCCCAAGTCCAGGAGGTCAGTATTTAACCAAAGGCATTGGAAAAGGCTGGCTCTTTTATTCCAAGTTTTGAATAGTTCACAGTCTTTTTTTTTCTTTAAGAATAAAATGTTTGGTATCACACACTAGAAAATCAGCAGCCATTATAATCATTTACCAAAAAACCATTTAAAATTCACACACCTGATTTCCAGAAGTCTTTCAGGGATCTCTTTTATTACAATAGCTTCCAGCATTGCATCCAGCACAACAGTGTCACAAGGATGCTCATCATTCCACCAGTGGGTACACATACAGATCGGGGTGGTAAATAAAAGATTAGAGAAGTGATCCACACCTAGAATTGAACAGGGCGTTCTCTTTGCAGGCGTAATCATTTCTCCACTGTACCAGGAGTGTGTGTATATATGTTCTCCATCACAGATGATGCGCATGTGTCGCTCTGCAGCTTTGCAACCGGGGTCCGCATGCAGCATTCTAGCACGTGACCGTGGGGCTACTAGCTTACAGGGGTATAAACACAAACTCGCGCGCCCATGCGCGCATGCGTCAGTGTAGCCCAGGGACAAATCTCATTTTCCAAAGCAACAAGGCAGGTGTGAATGCTACAGCCTGTGGGTGGGCGGGGCATCATACTCTGAACTTGACCCAGATCCGAGAGAGCGCGCCTTTCTGCAAGGTGCGCTCCAAACCAGAGCACAGCGGTGCGCAAGGTCGAAGCAGCGCTCTCACACCTGCCTGGGGAGTGGACGAGAGCGGCCCATGGACACGGGGCAAGAGGCATGAGGGGTGCGCCACCCCCCGCCCCTGCACAGCTCCACTCCTCCAACGAGGGGCAACAGTGTAAGCCTCCGCGCCCTGAGCTGGTGATGCTGTCACAGCGGTTAGAACCCCAACACACCGGCGTGGCAGAAGGAATGGGTGTAAGCTCAAGGTCACTGATGAGCAAGCCCAGAGGAGTTAAGGCAGGGCGATTTTTAACTATTTTCAGGGCCTCCCAAAAGGACTCTGCGCATGCGTGTTTGCGTTTCTATGCAACGAGGATCAACCAGGAGGCCGCCGGCCGCCCTTCTCTGCGGGGCCCCTCTGCCCCCGAGCCCCCGACCGCAGCCACGCCGCGGCGCTGCATTCTTTCACAGAAAGAGTAAAATTCCCCTCAACTGTTCCATGTTCTTGCCTCCCAAGGCTCTAACCATTCAATTTAAATAGGAAAGCACTTCAATCATTGGAAGAAAATGCTCTTTAGAAAAATAATACTTTGAAAAATAAAGCAAAATCTTTTACCAAAATAATTCTTTGACTTTTCAAATTGTTCTCTTTACAAGCCAGTTTAATAAACAAGACAATCATCTTCTAGTGGCTTAAAGAATGTCACTCAGACCATTACTTATCCACTTGCCCTTAATTTGAGTGGAAAAAGCTCAGGAAAATAAAAAGCATTACTCATAAATCCCAAAAGAAGGTCAGTGTTGTGAGATTTATAGACTAAGGTTCTTTGGATAGTCTAACGTATATCTTTTTAATGTATCAATGACAGTTATAATAGAAAGAATATGGCTAAATGCTTATAACAATAACCCAGAGTAAAGTAATAAATAATATCTACAAAGAATATAATTTAACTTTTTCAAACTATTTTCTTAAAACCAAGCAGCTTCTTGTGAGAGCTTCCAATGGAAACGGACCTCGCTGCCCTTCGGCATCAGCTCTGTCCGAGCGCACAGCCTCGGCACCGCCTCGCTGGAGAAGCGCTGCGGGCCGAGCGCCGAGCTGACCGGAAAGACGCCCCAGGAACATTTCCCGTGGTCGGCGCTCAAGGCGCGGCAGAGCCACCGAGAGCCAGGCAAAGCCGGCCTTGAGCCACGCGAAGGGGGCGGGGTAAGCGGGTCACACGGGGCATGTTTAACCAAAGGGATTTACAGAACACTTATCGCTTAAAAATTAGACCAGTCAGCAAATTCTGCAGGAGAACACCCACAGGGCCACGGCCCAGGACAGCAAGGTCTGGAGTGCCTCCCGGGACCCCAGAACCGGGTCGCGCGACCCCACACATCCCTCCTGCCGGGTGCAGAAGAGGGGTAGGAACCGCCACAAGGGGGTGTGACCCGCACTCCAGTCACGCTCAAATGGCGTTCCTCCATCACTCTGCCACCAGCAGGCGCCCCGCCACCCCCGTCCCCCCTCCCACCCCCAGCTCGGGTTCACAGGCACACGCTGCACATTAACCGCGGACGCACTGAAGGCCGGAAGAGCGGGGCCAGCCCTGGCTTTCAGCCACATCCGAGGAACGCCTTCCGCTGAGAATGCACCCGAGCCGCGGCCTATAAAGTGCACCCTTCGTATTTGACTTAGAAATGCCAGCCCCCGGGGCAGCGGGACTGGGGAGGGTGCATCTCAACTCTGCTCTCAAGCAAATGACTGCACGCCAGGCTGCTGAGCTCCGCTCCGCGGCTCCCGAAACCTATCCTTTAATGAGGAGCGGCTGGTCTTTGGACGGCGTAGGAGGTCGCTGGGAACAGTTCATGCCGAGGCAGAATGAACGTCCTGGTTTTCAAACGGCGGCGGTGGCTCTCTCCAAAAGGTGAAGTTACTGAAAGTGTCTGAGCAGGGGAAGTCCGAAGAATGGCTTCTTTTCAGCAGCGGGAAAACGTGGTCGACCACCTCACAGAGTCTCACATACCTGGAGGGAAATGGACGACATCATTTGCCGCTGAGCCGCACCTGCCACGCTCCCCCCGAGGAGTGTAGAAATGAGGAGAAACCCACAACCCCGAGGAACGGACCTTGGGGGCTAAGAACAGGGCAGGGGATCTAGAATAATTCCTCAGCAATTAACAGGAAATCGAGGGCACACCAAGCAGGAGTGGAGAAGGCCCCACAGTGAGGCGAGGGGACCCGACGGGGCACAAGGAACCAGGGAGGAGGGCAGAGCAGGGCAGAGCAGGACAAGAGGACGTCAGCCCGGCAGAGGGCGGCCACCCGCCATGGACCTCACGCGTGGGCACCACGGGAACAGAGCCCAGATCCCTGGAGCATCGTGGGATGCGTCTCCATGCAGTGAAAGACACTGGGCCCTGCGGCTCAGGGGACACAGGTTTGACTTCGGCTCTGCCGTTGACTGGCTGTGGCATCTTGGGAAAACGGCTCTGTCTGCTGGGCCGCAACCTCCCCCGTGAAGGGCAGGCCATGCGCACTGCCCCGCTGTCCACAGGAGAACTGAACGAAGCAGTGTGTGCAGCCGTGAGACCGTGCATACTGGACGTTCCCTCCGCGCAGCCAGCGATCAGTTATTATTAGGAAGGAATTAGCCCTGGCTAACGAGCAGCCTGAGGAAGAAAAGCCGTCATGGGCAGGAGGGTCGCGAGGCCTGGGGCCTGCTCCCGCCCACGGCTGTGGAACCCGGGCCTCTGTCTTGCCCTCCCTGGCCCTCGGGCCCTGCATCGCTCACGCGTGGACCTGGACCAGACCCGTGTCTATCAACACGTCCTGCGTGTCCCTCACTCCATTTTCTGTGTATTCCCAACAAGTTGTTCATATTAGTCTCTGTGGCCTACACTACAAAAAGAAAGTTGCTGCATTGAATATGCATTTTCAGACCTCCGGGCGCCTCCAGCCAAGAACTGTGACAAGCGCAGGCCTCTCTGAACGTCCCCAGAGTCCTCCCTCACGGTCACAGTCATGGGTCCCTCTCCAGTTCCAATTTGCCAAGAACCAAAAGGGGCTTTCCAAAAATCCAGCCTCTAGGAATTAGCGTGTTCTAAAAGCATAAAATAGTTTATTAAATAAGAATGAGTGTGTGTATTTAATAAAGGACCTCCAAAGGGCTTCTGAGAAACGCCGTGCCTGAATAAAATGGGGAGGAAAAAAAATCTCTCTTAACGAGCAAGAATTACGCCTTTCCTGGGGATGAAAACAAATGTTTGCAATACCTCTGGGCTTTAAGACCTGTTTGTCTGAGTTCTGTGGCTACGGGAGGCGGCCGTACCCACATGAGAGTGTGGGGCCACAGGCCCGGGCCGCCATCATGTGCTCTGCGTGAGTGCGGGGGGCCGCCCCGCCCACGTGCCTGTCCCGGGGCGACCCTGCCTCCGGCTCGGGGCTCCTTCCAGCACGGGGCGCACAGGGAGGGCGCACTGAAGCTCCCCACCCAGCGGGGACCCCTAGCCCTCACAGACCTTTCCGATGACTTGAATTCTCAGAGACAGTGTCCCAGGTCTGAGGGGCGGGTACCCACTGCCTTTGAAATGCCGGTACCCAGTTCAGTACCAGAGGTGGAAAGTGTGCTTTCTGGGGAAAAGGAGGCCCTCTCTCATGGGACAGCCACACCCCCCAGGCTGGGTGCAAGGCAGCGCCCCTCAGCGATCTGTGCCATGTTCGCTCACACACGGAGGCCCACGCTAGGCCAAGGCCCCAGCAAAGTGTGCATTCAGCCCGAATCACGGCAAGCGGGGTGACCTCAGGGGCCTCCTGGGCAAACCTTCATAGACGCTGGGCTCCCCCTACCTGCCCATAAGACCTGCCCCTAAGACCTGTCCCTCGGCTGCTGCCCGGCGGAAACCTATGTCATTTCTGGGCAGTGTCCCATCAGTTGGGAGTTCTTTTTGACTGTAAATAAAAATCCACTTGATCTTCTCCAGACTCAGGAAGCCCTGTCTTGTGGGAAGGCAACAGTCTGGGGAGTGAGGGGCAGGGGGGCTGTGGCGTGCTCAGGGGTGGCCTGGCGTCATCGGGGTGGCCGCGTAGAGCTCGGGAGGGGGAAGGGCCGAGAGGATCGATGCAATCGGTCCCTGCAGCCCGTCCGGAACCGCAGCGGTGGAGCTGGGTCAGACTCCCGCTGCGGTGAGGAGCTCTTGAGAGTGAAACTGTGCTCCGGGGAAGCCTAGACCACGGCCCTCCCCAGCCAGCAAGAGGCGTCGGGAGGCGGCCCGGAGGCGCCCATTCCAACTCCTCCACCCGAGGAGGCCTCAGCAGGCCCCCTGGGTCACTCGGGCCGGCGGCCGTTCCCAGGTCTACGCATTCTGGGCCAGAGAGAGGCAGCCACACCTGTCCGCCTGATGTCTCCCAGGAGACAAAGCTCCCCACCTGCGAAGAGGAAACGCTCTCCATTCTAAGAAGTTAGGAACCCAAAGCAAGACACATCAAAGTCAAGAGCGATGCTACAGCCGACCAGGATGCCTCGCTGCAGTAGCCCCATTCAGCCCTCGGCCCAGCTCAGCCCTCGGCTGTGGAGACTGGGCTGGGACCACAGCTCCGCGAGGGATTCTTAGGACGGGTCGCACAGCGGCGTTTCTGGTGGGAGCGCTGCCGCAGGCCAAGATGCAAAGGGAGACATCGTTCCTCTGCTTCAAATACCACGTCGTGTGATATTTCACTGTGGTTGCCTTCTCAAGTCACATTCTAGGCTTTTAAACCTAACTTGGCGACTCGCAACCACTAGTTTTCAAATTCATTCAATTCCACTCTGGAGCAGAATGTAACCACGAGTTTAAATTTTCAACCCAGAGGGAGATCTTATTTAATCCAGATTGTCCAAGCATGAAGTTTTAGACAAAATACGAGGAGTTGAGATATATTTTCCTTGTAAGAATTGAGGATTAAAATATAGGCAACAAAGGCCCCAAAGGAATACCAAAACAGAGAGAGACCACTCCGAAATTAAGATGACGGTGACGCGGGGACACAGCCCCGTGGTGGCCGGCAGCGCAGGGGTACTCACGAGGAGATGTTGGTCTTGGCGTGCTCCTGCACGAGCTCCCCTTTGGGGTTCACGGTGAAGATCCTGTTCAAGGACACTCCCACTTGCTTGTATGAATACACGTCCTATGTTTGGTAGAGGGTTAGAAAAAAGGAGTTCGTTGCAAATACAGATACGATACTTCAGATCGGAGGCGCTATCATGACCTGCTCATGAAGCAGAACTACACTTCCAACTAGGGAAGAGGGAGAGTATCTCTGGATGTGAAACTGTCAAATCAGTGCTCCCCTCTGGATCCCAGTTTGCGCATCTATCCAGGAAGTGAGTTCAAGAGGGGGCCCCGGCACACCCCCTGCAATCCTCACATTGCTCACGGCGGCTCCCTGACCACTTCCTTGGGCATGAGTTTCAAAAGTACGAGAATTTTCTTACTCTATTCTCCAGATCGTTAACGTTCTGGCAAACTGGGGCGGAGAACACAAAATCCCGGAGCACTTCTTTGACCATATGAAGCAATCGATACAGTAGCCCCCTTATCCACAGAGGATGTGTTCCAAGGCCCCCAGTGGGTGCCTGAATCCGGGGATAGTGCCAAACCCCAGAGAGACTATGTTTTTTCCCATACATACAGACCTTTGATTAAGTTTAACTGTCAGTTAGGCACAGTGAGAGATTCACAACAATAACCAATAGTAAAGTAGAACAATTATAACAATAGATTGTAATAAAAGTTGTGTGAATGCAGCATTACTAAGTAGAATAAGGGCGCCTTGCACACAAGCACTGCGATACGCGAGTCGATCTGATGACCCAGACGGCTACTAAGTGACCGACCCAACCGGCGGGGAGCGAGCCGGGGTGTCCAGCCCACAACCCGCAGGCCTCGTGCAGCCCAGGATGGCTGTGAATGGGGCCCAACACAAAATCGCGTATTTACTTAAAACATTATGGGATTTTTTGGTGACTACTTGTCGCAATGTAGTTAGTGTGTGGCCTCAGGCAACTCTTGTTCCAGTGTGGCCCCGGGATGCCCAGAGGTCGGACACCCCTGGTCCAGCGTGAATACACTGGGCAAAGGAGGCTCCTGGGTAGGACCGAGTGCAATGCGTGAGACTTTATCATGCTACTCAGAGGGTTAGCAAGTTAAAAATGATGAATTGTGTGTTTCTGGACCTTTCCATTTAATATTTTCAGACTGCGGTTTTCATGAGCAACCGAAACCGCAGAAAGCAAAACCGCGGTAAGCGGGGGACTACTGTACCCTTAAAACTTGGAACGTAGAACTCACCGCTGTGCTAGGACCGGCCCTGTGGTTCCCGTCTGACAGAGCACATCTAATCCTAGTCGGCGTTCTTGTTTTACTAATTTAGCAAGTCATTCGGAATTTAACGTTTCTAGTCCCACATTTCGTGCCTCAAACTGAAACTCGTCGGCCAAACTTCAAAGAAAACTAGAGGCCACAAAATAGTTAGTAGTCTCCTTGCCTTTAGATGGAGGTAAATGCCTTTTACCAGCTCTTTCTGTTCAGAGGCGAGTCTGGCCCCATTTACAGCCTTTCAGGTAACTGATGTCAGAAAAGACAGGGATGCCCAGAGCCTCTGTACCCCATCTGCTACTTACAGCAGGTCGGTTTCCAAAAGCAGCATAAAAGGGTTCTGTATTTGGGAAAAACAGGTTTTTGATGTCTGTCAAACACTGGACTTTAAACTTCTCTGGCTTCTTTTCAATCACTTCTCTGTGAAAACAAATAAATAATGGAGCAGCATGAGAAGACACTCCTGTTCGCATCGAGCTATTCTGACCCGTCACAACGATGCCGTGACCCGAACAACCCCCTTGTCTTCGGAGGCTGACCTGACTATGTGGCAGTCAGTTCCACTGTCCCAGAAAAGCACTGGACAGAAAGGGAAACCCTACTTTCAAGCCTCCAACAAAGAAAAGGCGAAGGACACGCAGTCTCCCAGCCGGCCGAGGACCAAGAGCGCCAGAGCACAGAAGAAAAGAACACGCCTCCCAACGCATTTTATGAGGCCCGCACAGCCTCAAAAACAACATCTAAGGAAGCAAAGTGGGAGCCTATGTCACTCGTCAAGGGCAGTGTGAACTTCTAAAGAATGTTAAAACATCACTGAAATAGAGTAGGGAAGACCTAAATAAATGAAAAAAGGCACTACGTAACTGAATTGAAAGACTCACATCATATAAGGGGAGAGTAATTCTCCCTGAATTGGTCTCTCCTAGAGTCACTGTAATTTCAATCAAACTCTCAATAGGTTTTTGTCTGTATGTTTTCATGGGACTTGATCTAGTGGCCACACAGAAGCGCAAAGGCCGGACGCAGAACACACGTTTACAGACACCTGGCAGACAACCCCAGCGACAGCTGAGGGCAGGAGGGAAGGGCAGTCATTTCAGGAAATGGTGCAAAGACGAGGGACTGTCCCTCTCCAGAGAAAAAAGGAAACAAAGATATGGACCCCACTGGACATTACGTGCAAAAACCAATCCCTCGGTGATTAGGAACTGAAATGTGAAGGGCGACACCTTTAGATAAGATACAAACTAACTTTATGCCCAAGGTCAGGAAAGACTTTTTTAACACACACAAAAAGCACAGATTACAGTGGAAAGGAAATGTCTGACCCCAGGGAGCCAAGGATGTACAGTCACCGAGAGCCACGCCCTGGGGGAGGACCCGGCAGCACTTAGGACAGGAGCCTGGCACACAGACGCCGAGACACGCGCTCACTGGCTGCAGGGGCACTTCGCTGTCTCGCACTTCACGCGAAACACTTTGCTGGAATGCACTGTGACAGCTGTCAGAGCAGCGCGTGCTTAATGGAGAGACTGTATCAAAATTGGGGAATTTTTGTGTAGCCGTTTTAATATTAAAGGTAGAAGAAAATAAACCACATTTTCAGCACATTATGCTTAATTATTTCAAGAAAGGTAAAAATGCAACCTAAGCGCAAAAAAGGACTTTGTGTAGTGTATGGAGGAGGTACCGTGACTGATCGAACATGTCAAAAGTGGTCTGCGAAGTTTAGTGCTGGAGACTTCTCGCTGGACAATGCTCCACGGTCGGGGAGACCCGTTGAAGTTGATAGCAATCAAATCAAGACATTAATTGAGAGCAATCAAACGAGAGCCGGCATACTCAAAATATCTAAACCAATAAAGTTATTGATGAAAATGAAAAATGTACCTTCTGTTTTATGGGGGGGAAAAAAATCACATGAGTTTTCTGGCCAGCGCACTGTTTCCTAGACTTGTTGTAGCGTTTTAGAGCTCAGGGGACGCGGGGGACCATCCAACCCCATCCTGTCACTTGGTGGTTGAGGACACAGACCCAGCACCGTTCGTGAGTCGCCAAAGAGCATCAGAGGGCAGCCCCGGTCCCCCCTCCAGACCCCCACACCCCACACCGAGAGCTTATTTCTGCCAACTTGCCGCGCACACTACACTCTGACTTAAGCCCAGGCAGCAGTCACAACGGTGCCCGATTCAAGTGCCTCGCCAGGGAAGGTCACGGCGCCCACAGCAGACCTTCCTGCCGGTTCCAGAACATCTGCAGGCCACCCCGCGGCGCGGCTCTGGCCGGGGGCCACAGGCAGTGCCACCCGGAGCACCTCCAGCCCCCGGGGGGGCGCGTGAGCCGTGAGCGTCAGGCTTCTCTTCTCAATGATCCCCCACGAGGAAGCAGTAACGCTTCTTGGACGAGGATATTTAAATAAGAGAACACTGAAAAGGATCACCTTCGGTTATTTTCAGCAGTAGGGGGTCAAGAGCAAAAAATGTCAGCTTTGGACTTTGTCTAGCAAAGCCTTAGTGCTTAACATAGGCTACTAAGCACCTTGTCGCAAACTGTCCACATGGCCCGGGGACATTTCATTAAAATATCTGGACCATGGGATCATCTCATCAAAACGTCCGGATTTCTACTGAGACCCACATCATGACTGCTCTCAGGACCTGCAACACACGAGAGCACCCACTGCCTGCATTTTCTCCCCAGACTGGGCCAGTTTCAATGTAACATGTTTTCCTACAGGGGAAAAAAAAAATGCTACTTGCACAACACAAAACAGTGCTGGGAAAGGTCACTACAGAGCGGAAGAGAAATCAGCGAAGCAGCCCAGAGTAATCGGTGAGGCGCTGGGGGCCCCTCTGGCTTTTCCGCTGCTGGTGTGGTCAGAGGGACACACAGCAAACATGGCCCCCAACTGAGACAACATCATGACGAAGCTTTTCGTTCGAGACACAACTGTAGGACACGCACATCCAGCCGCCGCAGGACCAGCGTCCCACCAGGGCCACGGCTGGCTGTGCTATGAGGGCGTCTGGAAGCCGCCCGGCCCCGGGCTGCGCAGAGGCCAGTGCTCCCCGCCCCCGCCCGGCGGCCAGCGTCCGGCCGGGCTGCCGTGAACACAGCCCAGAGGGCGGCGGGAGGAGCGCAGTCAGAAACCCGCTGGTGGCCTGTGGGCGCGCCATCAAAATAAGCAGTGGGACCAGAGCCCCCCACGAGGACAAGTGTGATGGGAGTCCAAGGCCAGGTGAGCGATGGCATCTGGCCCGAGGGCCACTGAACCCGACCTAGGTCCCCGTTAGATGGACTGCAAGTTGATTCTCTACGACGCAGCTGGGCAACAGGGGAAAGGGAAGGGGCAAGGCAAGGGGCAAGGCAGGAGGAGGGGCGGCCACCGCAAAAGGGGGCAGCAGGCGCCAAGGCCCACGGGGGAGTGGAGAGAGCGCAGCACAACCACTGAGCCCTAGAAACTGGAGAAAGCCAGGCTGGGGACAAGGCCGGCGGCCGTGAAGGGTCCCGGGACGCGGGGGGCGAGCCGGCGAGGGAGCGGGCGGGGCTGCCTGCACCTCAGGGTGATGTTTCCGGTGCCCACTACAGAGGCGGGAGCTGGGCTGCAAAGAGCGTGAAGGGGCCGTTCTTGCAGAGCCTCCGGGAAGGGGGCCAGGGCCCACCCGGCAGGTGCGGGCAGGCGGGTAGGCGGGCAGGCGGGGCCCTACCTGTGCAGGGCGGAGAAGAGGCTGCTGGGGCTGAGCAGCAGGGGCCCCTGCGGCAGCACCGTGCCCCGCTCGTTGACCCAGTGCAGGTAGCCCCTCGTCATGTCCGCCATCCCGATGGCACGCGCAGAGCAGTAGAGAAACTTGTATCCGTTCCTGGAAGAGACAAAACGTGCACCCTCAACGGCTTCGCACAATGGAGCTCTTCTGCAGGCACCGCCCCGACCCGCATCTGCTCCGTGAACGGTGGCTGGCGGCAAGCCCCCTCCAGGTCCCCTTCCACAAAATCTGATGGCGGGCGCCACCCCCGGGCCGCGCCTCTTCCCAGTCAAGTCGCAGTGGCGCCCAGGGCCCCAGCCTCTGAAGGCACAAGAGCTCTGGGCTCCTCGGGCCCCAGTTCTTCTCACCACCCTCCCTCCCTGGGGACCTCGCCCCCACCCGTGGCTCTAAATGCCACGTCCGAACTGCAGCAGCGGCAAACATCAGTGACGCTGTGATATGGCAGATACATATTTGGCCTTCTACCTGGGTTCCTGGCACAGGGCTCCCAACACCCTCAGAACTCCCCGAGCGGCAGCAGCAAGAGGGGCACCTCGCGCTGCTCCTGAGCAGGCCCTGGCACTCACAGCCACACCCGCACCCGCACGTCTGCTGATGAGGCCACTTGTGGGGGCGGGGCGGGGGAGGGGGTTGCCAGAAGAACAAACCACGCGTTTAGAGCTCAGTCACCGGCGCCTGAGGATCTGGTGGGGCGTCCCTAAGTAACGAGCCTCCGTGAAACCCTGACCAATGAGCGGGTTCAGAGAGCTCGCGGTGCCTGAGTGATCCACATGCCGAGAAGGCGGCACACCCCAACTCCACTGTGGTGGGGGGCCCTTCCAGGCCTCACTCTCCGTACTTCATCTTCATCTGGCTGTTCATCTGTGTCCTTGATAGTAAACCAGTAAATGGGTTTCCCTAAGTTCTGTGAGCCATCATAGCAAATAACCAAAGCTGAGGAGGGGGTGGTAGGAACCATAGGCTTGTAGCCAAGTTGGACAGAAGCGTGGGTAACGTGGGGACCGGCTACTCGCCCAGCATTTCAAGGAAGGGACCTGCCCCGGCACGCCTGCCACAGCCTCAACTGTCTCCCTGCCCCTCATCAAGTCTCCACACGGAAAGAAAACTGAAACCTTAACACTGAACCCGATCGGGCCCACGGCCTCCCACACCCTGCCCTCCCTCTCAGGCAGAGCCCAGCTTCTGCCGCGACCTCCAGGCCCGGGAGCCGCAGCCCTGCCTCCTCTCCAGTCCTGCCTGCTCCTGGCTCGGCACACAGGGTTCTTGCGGCTCCTCCCACCCACCGCGCTCACTCCTGCGCTGGACACCTGCACACGCTGCCCCCGCCGCCTGGGACACTGTCCCCCGACGTCCCCGGTGGTCTGCTAGGACGTCACTACCTCAGAGGGCCCTCCCCTGCCCCTTCTGTGTAATAAAGCACACCCACCCCGCCCTCACCCCAGGCACTGGCCTTTGCTCTGTTTGTCTGACCCATGTCACCTGTCATTGATACCGTATTGTAGCCCTTTGTTGGCTGTATGTCTCATCAATCCACACACTCACTGAGGGTGGGGACTCTGTCTCACTCCTGGTTGCAACCCCTGTGCCCAAACAGTGCTCGGCCCATAGCAGACACTCAGGAAGTGCCTGCTGGGTGAGCAAGTTCGAACTCCCCACTCCCTGCGACTCCCCTGAACGCCACACGCTGGCGCGGGACCTGCCGCCAGCCCGGGCTAATAACACGTCCTTCAAAAGGAGAAACAGGAACGTTTTAAGACAAAAGAGAATCTAGAAACAGCAGCTCGTCTGGAATACAGGGATGCATCTGAACATCAAGCAATCTTTCTAATTAGGCATCTTTGTCCTTCAGCTGTCTAATTAATGCAGTCTTTAAAAAAAAAAGTCGCTATTTCTGTACTCAGCTCTTCACATCCAAGTCCTAAGCTGCCGCCTGCAGGGCTCTGAGTTGCTAATTCCATTCAAAACCTGCTTTCCAACCGCACATCCCAGTTCCACGGCGCCACTGCGGTTCGGTTGCGCCACAGCGGTTCGTTCGGTCGCGCCACTGCGGTTCGGTCGCACCACAGCGGTTCGTTCGGTCGCACCACTGCGGCTCGGTCGCGCCACTGCATTGCTGTCACCACCCGGGTGTTCCGCTCCAGAGGCTGTCGCTACCCTCAGCAGGAAAAGCGGCTCGAGGGGGAACACGCTTGTTGGTGGTGGCAGGGGTCTTGGTCCCACGAGGGCTGTCGGGGACACCAGGTGCTCCCGCCGGTGCTCAGGAGGCCGCGGTCCCCGAAGATGACTCTCCATGGGGCCCCGCAAGGAAAGTAAGACCCCTCACTCAGAAGGTCGGCCAGCAGGACACCTCGTTCCACCAACGCACGCCCGCCAGGCACCCTTGCGCCCGGCCCCAGGCTGGACACATGTCAGAGCGCGGCGGGAAGCGGGCGCCCGCCTGAGCGGACACCAGCGAGCAGAGCACATCCCGCCGGGGGGGCCCTGATGCCCCCGACAGCTCAGCCACGGGAGCGGGCTCCGGCCGCACGCTGAAAAGGAAGAGCCTCTGCCGTGTCCTGGCTGGGGACAGGCCATTTCTCCTGCTGTCCCCGTCTCCGTGTCCCTCTCAAAACGCCTTGCCCAGGGAGACACTAAAATAGCTGGGCAAGATCACCTTTGGGAATATTTCCCAAGAGCAGCTTCTAGACCGACGTTCTCAACGACCGACACTGCGAGGACCGCAGCTGCGTTTGCTGGGAGGTGGGGCAGGGAGTCCCCTACAACGCTGCATTCCACGGTTCTCAGCAGCGCTGCTGGTCTCCACGCGCCAGGTGCCAGCAGCACGGCCCAGTCGTGACAACCACACATGTGTCCCCACACTGCCATGTGTCCCACGGGTGAGCTCGTCCTCAGCTGAGAGCCACCGCAGGGATGCAGTGACACCAGGGACCCCCGGAACCCCAGGCAGGGGCTCGCCTGCTGCCTCGGGACAGAAAGCTCCGCGCCCCACCAGACCTGTCCTGGGGTCAGCCTCACGGCCCCTGCGATCAGCGCCCGGGGCTTGGCACGGTCACGCTCACGGTCCCGCCCTCGGCGCCGCCACCGCCTTCCGGACCCAGGGGCACGCACTCACAGGCTCAGGCGCGGCCCCTCCCCTGCGCCCCCCGCAGCTGCGATAAGGAGCCCTTTTCGGACACGCCGCCCGTCCGAGAAGGCTCGGCTCAGGCGCGCCTCACTGGAAGCCCTTTGATGCCTCGTCCCGCCGCCCAAAACGAACATGAGTTCTGCCTCTCTCATCACACCCCGGCCACGGCCCCAGCGGGGCCTGCCGCCCGCCCCGGTGAGGGCGCAGCTCCCGCAGGGGCGGCGCTCAGCACCAGGGACAGCACCGGTGCACAGCGCTTGCGCAGTGGTTCTGACCCGCCGCCCCGCTGGGAAGCCCCACCCAGCTGTCCCCACGTGCACTTGTGACTTCAACCGTGCAAGCTGGCAGCAGGTCACTTTGGACAACAGCGCCCTAAGGGACTGTCCAACCCCATTTCAGAGACGGGAAACCAAGCTGGGAATGGGGAACGAGGTCCCATTGTCCGTGGTGGGCTGACGGCCGTCGCCCCTAGAAGCCAGGGGCCCGACTCCCTCCTGTTCACCTCGTGACCGCCCTCACCGGCGGAGTGACGCCTGCAATGACCTGGGAGGGCCTGAGGAAGGCAGGACGGCCGTCCTCGGGAGCCCGCTCAGGGCCGTTTCCTGTTTCCAGGGGGTTCCCACCTCGGGCCCAGACGGGCTCATCTATCTATGCAGAAAAAACAAACAGTGAGCCTTCATTCCTGCTAACCAGAGACACTGGTTTCCAGCTACATCAACGTAAAAATATATATCAAGTAAGGTAGAAAATCAGAGCAACTATTGTCCAAACTTAGCCCCCCCGAAGACCCACTGGCTCAACAACGATCTAGATATTTTGGGAAACAGCGTTTTTAGGCCGCCTCTCCTCACAGAACACACGTGAGTGTGAAGGCGGTTCCGATGTCTCCCGTCTGTGTCCGCTGCAGTGCTCTTCAACCGAGCGCCAAGCGCGCCTGACACCCTCTCTGGGAGCCGCGTACTAATCAGCCTGACAGATCGTTTCTCTCACAGGCGGACCCCACGCAGACAAGTAATTATATTCTGCACAAAAACAAATCAAACTGCCCCCATTGTCTGTTGTTTCCAGGCAAGTGGCTATCTGCAAGACTGCTTTCCCCGCGAGATGCGGCCTGCAGTGCTTGACATTTAAGGAGGACCCAGAATTCAAGGACGGTGGTGTCCAGAGAGAGCAGCCAGTGAACCCTGGTTCTCCACTGGCCCTTCCTCTGCACAAGCCCGACACTGACAGAAATGGCCTGGGCTCAGAGGGACTCCCAACCCTTACCGATTCCCAGGCCCTGGGCTTCTCCCCACTGTGGCCGCCTGAGGCCTTGGAGGGCACGCCCTGCGAGCCACCGCCAGGACAGGTGTCCATTCTGCCCAGCAGTCGGTCACTTGCAGGAGCTTCCCCACATCCAGCCTGGGTCAGGGCTCCGTGAGGGGACCCAGGCCCCCGAGCCAGGCCGAGCCCTGCGGTGTCAACAGAGAGACTGGTAAATCCGGAGGGGGTGGGGGGAGAGCTGCCCAGGCCCCTTCCCAGCCTGGAGAGGCCTCGTGATGCCTGCGGGCCTGAGCTGGACACTCCAAGCCGACAAAAACATGGAGCGGCAGCCATCAGAGGCCGTCCCTGGGGCAAAGGCGGGAAGATGGGGTCATGAGGCGTGGAGCGGGGACACCGTGGGCCTGGATCAGGGCAGGCGGTCTGGGAAGAAGCAGCGGCAGAAGATGAGGACCTAGCAGAGGGCGGGGACCCGAAGCTGCTGGGCTTCCAGCGCCACCCGGCGGAGCTTGCCCGTCCTCCCAGAGTCGCTCAGCGCGGAGCCCCGGCAGGCCTGGCCCGCAGTGGGAAGGCCGCTGCTCCAGGAGCCGCGCACATCGCTGCGCCCCGCGTCTGCGTGCCACGGGGAACACACGTCCAACTCAGCGCTCAAACAGACGCGAGCTCCTTCCTCCCAGCCATCACGGAAATGCGAGAAGCCTTCTGGACTCTTCTCAATCCTCACCAACACTGCTTGCTCACGCTATGCGGACGCTCAGAGAAGAGAGGGTCCTGGGGTGTTTTTGGGTAAGCTACACAACTTTGTTTTTCAGGAAGATCTCTTTTCTGGGAAAATCCAAATCGACACAAATCGACAGCACCTCCCCACCAAAAAAAAAAAAAAAAAAAAAGCAACTATGCTTTTCTTTAATGTTTCAGTAAAGACAGGAATAGATTTATATTCCAAAACTCAGAAGGAATCAAGCTGTGAACTGTGAACTACTCAGTATCCTGACCCAGGACAGTTTCTTTCAACCCAAAATAGATGCAATTGTCAGGGTCATGCAAGTCACTGAAAAGCAGTCAATTAACCCTTCTCAAGAAAGGTCTGCGGTGGCGAGCGAGGCTGCGGGGAGGGCCTGGACTGCTGGTCTGCGAGCGCGCAGGCGGGGGCGCTGCGCAGAGGGCAGCGGGGAAGCACAGGCCAGCTCTTCCCCCAGCCTCGGCCGCCGACCAGCAGCGCTCCTTCGGGGAGCCTGCCTCACAGCGGCCTTCCCGTGCGTGTGCCTCCCTTGCTTACTTACATGCTCAATGCCCGTAACAAACAGCATGTGGAAGCGCTGCTGCCTCTCTGTTGGAAATGGTGAAAGAATGGAAGCTGCCTCCCACGTCCATCAGCAGAGGACTAGACGCAGTACGGCCGCCCTGCGTCGCAGAACTGTGTGCAGCGGTTAGGGAGAGGCGCGCCCGATGTGTGCGGGAAGCAAGGACGTATTATTTAACGGCTCACGGTACGTCCACCTGTAGGGAGTGGACTCGCTTGGCAGCGCTAGAGCCGGGGGGGAGGGGGAAGACGACGCAACCGTTGTACTTTTCAATTTCTCTAATTTTTCTTATTTCTCTTTTTTTTAAAAGAAGCAGGTATTAGGTATTTTTTATAGAAGAGATCTAAAAAAGTAAGGAAGGTCAAACCAATGATCTGGGCATCGAAGCAATGAGAAGAAATTAGAAATCAGCGGCACACAGGGCGGGCCCACACTGTGTACTCACTGGCTCACTTTGTGGTACAGCTTGGCGATGCCCTGGTGGGTCCAGTCCTTCCCCAGGGTGGGCAAAATGTGGCCGAGGGTATCCGATCTAAATAAGGGCAGAAAAGAGAAAAATAGCATGAAGAGGGCCTCGCAAAAGGGAAAAAACTTGTGTTCCAGTTCATGGCACCGTAAGTGCCTCCTAAAAACCGCCAAAGGACGCACGACTTACTTTCTGGACACATAAAAACTAAAGTGTGTGATCACTTTAGACTCGGGAGGAGCGGGGATGTGTTAACACACAAAGGGCGCCTTCCGTCTGGTCGCGTGTCAAGTCCTCGAGTGGCTCAATCACGTAAAAAGCCACTCGGAAAGGTGCCCTTCCGAGGCATCCTCATGAACAAGACGAGGAGCCACCCCCGACCCCCCGGCGGAAACAACCAGCAAGCCCTGCAGGGGGCCGCTGGGTTTAAGCCCACGGACCCCACAGGCAGCCCCTGGCCGGGCGCCGGACGGCGCGGCCCCTGACCCCACAGGAAGAGCCCTGGAGCGCCAGCTCTGGCCGCGGCCCCGGGGAAGGTCGGCTCTCCCAGGGGCCCAGCCCGCCGGGCCCACCTCGTGATGGTTCCGTCGATATCAGAAATGATGACTTTATCGTCCCAGTTCCACAAATAGATGGTGCCTTCGCAGCGACACGTGCCCTGATACTGTGTGGTGACACTGAAAACGACGTCGTTGGGGCCGTTCTTCAGCTTCAGGCTTTTCTGGAAAACACAACGCGCTCTCTTGAGGGGAAGGCCCGCCTGAGGGGGTTTGGCTTCCGTGCCGGAGAAGCGGGGTTAGGATTTTTTTACATCACTGCTCCAAGTCACGGAGCAGTTCCTTCTTCCCTGTCTTGCTCTAGAAGGGGGCTGCTTCCAGGATCTGGGCGACCTGCGCCCCGGCTCTCCTCGCAGACCCACTCACGATGCGGCTCACCTACCTCGCACACAGGCCTCGCACTCCCAGGGAGGACGCCAACCTGGCCCCGGATTTCAGGATGAGAATCCTGAGAGGGTTAAGTCCTGGGCCATTAGGGCTCGGCAAAATGAATCACAATTCCAGAACAGGTGGCACCTACGACTCCAGGCCTCCCCCAGGTCACGGGCTGGAGCCGCTCACCGCCACACAGCTGCGCGGGGGCTGCAGGGCCGGGCTCGCAGCGCGGCGTCGGCGCCTGTCCACTACCGCTTCCCATGAAACACCATCCTGACAACGCCCAGGATGCTCGCTCACTGACCACTCGTGGAAACAGGGTCCAGGGAAGGGGGGGCCAGAGGGAAGCGGCCGTGTGCCCGTGCAGAAGGGGGCACTGTGACCTGCCACCTGGAATGCTCGCTTCATTTCCCCCCATTGAGGAGATGCAGCTGCATTAACAAGCATCTCTCAAAGCGGAAGCCCCCGAGTTTGGTCTGTGGGTCACTCACACCTCAGATAAATCGGCTGCACCGGGCTGCCTCCCTCTAACCCTAGGACACAGGAGCCCCAGGGCTGCGCCAGAGAGGACGCAGGGGAAGTGGCGACGGGGAGCCTGCCCAGGCAGGCGCTGACGTTGGGACGGAAACTCGGGGCTCTGAGGGGCAGCGGGTGCTCTGGGGTACCGAGGCGTCAGGGAGCCCGTGGGGGCCGGCGCATGGAGGGACACCGGACATCACACGCGCCACGTCCGGTGGCCCGGCCTTGGCCCATGCCCAGGACAGGACAGGCAAGACCCCGACGCTCACCAGCTGCTCCGAAGTGAGCCGGAGGGTCTTCTTGTAGCCGACGTTGGCCAGCAGAGAGAGGTGGCTGGTGCTGGACGGCCTGGCGGCCGCATGCTCCTCATCACTGGAGGATGATTCATGCTTGATTCTAGAACACACACAGGGATGTGATCACCAATTAGGAAATGCATCTGGGTAGCCATTAAAAATGCATTAGGCCAGGATCAATGACGGAGTCGATCGGGTCTCTCCTGAGCGCCGCACCGCGGGTGGCCATTTACCATATGCCGTGCACTTATCCATGAGCCTCGCTAAGCCCTCATCCACACGCTCCTGCATGGCACCGCTGGGGCCGCCTCTCGGCCACTTCCTGACCCACTAGCCGCCATCGCGCCGTCAGCAACCAGGAGGCTCCTCTCCCCGGTCAGGAGGGCCGGGTGCCCCCCGCGCCTACAAGGACGCGCACGTTCTCGCCTCTCTCTCGTCGGAGGCTCAGGACACGCGCAAGGAGTCCCAATTCCCACACGTCTAACCGGTTAGTTCCCGGTATCCACCTCTCCAGCCCCACAGTGCCAAACAATGAGGGCACTCTGCGGCTTTGCGAGGGGTGCCAGCGAGGACGAGGAAGGCTCGCCAGTCCTGCCCCAGAGCCCCCAGCGGGCTGCCCGGGTCGGCCTGCCCAGACTCTCCAAGCCTTTCCTGGTTGGCGGGGGCTGGGAGGAGCAGGTGGGAAGCGGCTTCCTTCTCTTTAAATAGCTCACACAAAGCACTTCAGCCGTTAGTCGTTCCCTAGATTAAAATCCTGCTGTGGGTTTAATCCCCAACCCAGCAGGACTAGCTCTGCTTCCCCGGACCGTCATCTTTAAACAGGTTTTAGTGCTGCAGGAAGTGCTTAGTACACGCTAGGCTAAGTGGAAAAGGCACTCCGGGTGCCCCAGCAGGCACGCCCCGCCTGGGCGCCTTCCCGCAAAGCTTCCTCCCCCACACAGGCGCGGCTCCCCCACTCGCAGCTGCACCTCACGAAGCTCCTACCCTCCGTGCCAGCGTCCCTGCCCCCCTGCCTCCTGTTTCCCCGACCGGAAAACGATCGGGTGTCTCCCGTACCACCTGTTACTTTGTCACTCGGTGTGTTCCTTCAGGGAGCAGTACCTACAATCCAGTCCTGCCCGACCTCGGGGAGACACGAGGGAGGACGCGGCGACACAGCGCTACTGCCCCACCGCTCAGGTCAGTGGACCCTCCCTAAGCACCTGCACCCGGGGCCCCAGGAGAGGCAGCCTGCGGGCGGCGGGCTGACCGACGGGAGCTCCCCGGCCGACACCCACCCGCACCATGCGGGGCCTTGTCCACACAGCAAAGAGCCTGGCCCCTGCTCTCTTGGGGCTTTCTGTCTAAACAGTCAACAGCAGGGGTCGCCGTGGAGCAGCTGGCATTGGGGCCCAGGAGCTGCACAGAACCACCGGCCTGGAGCCGCAGACCTGGCCTTCCCTGAGACACGGCCCCGGGCCGCGGGCAGAATCCTGGTGGTCCATGGCGGGGCTAAGCCACATGCCAGTGAATCCACACTGTGCCACTGCGGCCAATCTACGTGGACGTGACAGAGCTGTTGGGACCTGAGAAAGCCAGGTTTGGACCCTGCAGGAACTCCAGGCTGTGTTACATTGCACAAATCCTTCTTTTCTCTCAGCCCGGACTTCTTTATCTTAAAATGCATAAGAACAAACTGCATCCCACTCACCACAGAAAATTCAGGATGCAGGCAGACAACAGCCTGTAAAGAGCCAGACTGGGAGGCACAAGTCCCAGCCAAGGCCTCCAACTCAGGATTCCTCAACGGGCCTCGGTGTCTCATCTGCAAAATGATGTGTTCCAACGAGAGTCCTTTCCTGCAGAGCTGGTGAGCAACGCTGGTCCTTCTGGACCAACAGCCCAGGGGTTTCCAGACAGACGGGAGGACACAGTCCCAATGGGCCCGGCCAGCGCCCGGCTGGGAACAGCTCACTGAGTCGGGAAAGGTTTCCATCCCATCCAAACAGTCGGGAGTGAAGTGAGATCCAAAGGTGCACTGGCGCCCTGGGGACACCAGGGTGACTGACATGTGCCTCCACCGGTCGGGGCGGAAGCAAAGCGGAATCGCTGTTACTTCCATCTGCCGCTTTCAAAAAAAGACCTAAACACGTGCAGCACGCCACGTGCGAGGGACCACAGAACCGGGGAAAACACAGACCAGAGGAATAAAACGGAGCTGCACAGGGGCCTGGTGCAGCTGCAGCTGAGGGCGAGCTCCCCGTCGGCGGTGGACCTGCCACCCCGCGTGGAACAACGCGGCTCCCCCCAGCCCCCACCCACGCCCCCAACAGCCCAGTGAACGCTGCTCACTTCACAGCCCCTGCAAGAAGCCACCAAACCAAACCAAAGGGCTCATCCCGCCTGCAAGTCGGTGGCTGTGAACAACGTCTGAGTTAGCACTTATCACAGCAAACGTTTCTCAAACGGTATTTTAATGATTTGTATGCTGACAAGCTGTTTGCTCAATTACGAGACTTCGGGGACTGTTCTGTCGATCAAGTCTGTCAATTAGGAAAACACTCCTACACCTTTTTTTTTTTTTTAGTCAACTGCAGGAGTCTAATTAGGAGACTAAAAGTCTAGGATGCCAGTAAAAAATAAGAGATTTACATTTCCAAGAAAGAACTTTATAACTTCTCAAGATCTCAATTCCTTTTCACAAGGAGTCGTTCTTCGTGCTTCAGGTTTAAGAAAGCGGTGTGGCGTGACTCCTTCAGAACAGGGAGTCGTCAGACTATTTAACTGGGAAAAACATTTTTACCCACATTGACCAGGATGGTACCAGGTAGTGAGAAAATCCAAACGTTTCAGGTAAACCGCACCGGCTGCGCTCCACGCCGGGGGGCGCTGCAGTGTCCCGCAGCTGCGGCCGGCCCTCCAGCCGCCCTGGGACCAGGGAGAACAGATCCGGGGAGCCGGGTCCTCGGCATGCGGGCCCTGCCCCAGGGCTGGCAGGCCCCATCCCTTTCCACCCCCTGGGCCTCAGCCCGTCTTCCCCAGGCTTAAGACTGGCAGATCGCGGCTGAATGCAGTGGACGTCTGTGTTGGGCCACATCCTGGAGGGTATTTCAAAACATCCAAAACTGCGCGGTCAGGATGAGCACATGCCCCCAGGTTACGCAGCCGCCGCAGGCGCAGCCCCTGTGGCCCGTCGGGTCTGCGATCCAGGCCTCCTTCCTCGCGAGGCTGCCATGGGGATGAATGAGCCGATGCCTGCGGTGTGGGTGTCACCCCGGTCCCCACTTCACAGGCAAGGGAGGCGACACCAGGGGGCTGACGAGGTCGCCCGAGATCGCACCCGGGAGGCAGACGGAGTCCCCGCTTGTGCCGTCGCTCATATTTGGAAGTCACTGCCAGGGCAGAGGGGGTTCTTAAAGGGAACCCCTGGAGGGCAGGACGTTCCTAGAGCAGCTAAGGCGCTGGCACAAACCGCCTGGAACAGGCCAGCCGCTGCGTCTCCGCCCGCGTGTCCTCTCATGGTGCCGCCGCCGCCTCCCGGGCGGCCTCCCTCTGGCTGCTCCTGGCGCGACCACTGGGTTGTTCCGCTGCTGAGACGGGGTGGGAGCCCGCCCGGAGCCAGGGTTCCGACAGGTCCGCGTGCCGCCCGTGTGCGGCTGGCAGCCGCGGGCTCCCTCGGGCAGGAGGGCGCACCCCTGACGGAAGGTCGCGGGCTGCTCCGCCTCGTGCGTTCCGGTCCCTTCAAGGGACTGCACGGGCTTAGCCTGGGTCCGTCCCGAACACGCCTGCCGTCTCCCTTCCAACGCTCTCAGAGCCACACCCAGAACTCCTGTTGGGATGGAGCCAAATAACCACGCCTGGCAGCCCCTTCCAGAGGGGGAGCCCAAGGGGGGCTTTGGGGGGCGACCACGTGCTCTGCCAACCCTGCTTCCCCTTCCGTGCAGATCAGGATCGGGTCCAGTGGAACACGCAGGACCAGGTGCCACCGGGGAGCGCAGCAAGGGTGGCCCCCAGGATCACCCTGCCGAGGACCAGCTGGGCCACGTAGAGTCACCTCCAAAAACAGTTTTATCAGGTCGTGCACGCGCTTCTCCACAGAGAACAAGAGAGGAATCAGACAGTTTCCCACTTGCCACCTACCTGGGCTTCTATTCCCCACAGTGAATTCTAGACAGACAACAGGTTAAGAGAGAGCTTTGGCCACGAAGGGGACTGGGGACGTGAACTCCAAGGCCCCCCGCTCCGAACCAATAACACACTGGGAAGATCGGTTTAGTAACAGCCCAGCGACATCCGTGAAGCGCCTGCTACGTATCAGACGCTGGCTTGGCCTCCCAGGGGCAAAAATGGTTCAGATACGCATCTTGCCTTCGATTAATTTGTTAGCATTTCCTGTCTCCCAAGTGAGAAATGCAATCCCACGTTTCTTAAGCACAGGAACACAGCAAAGGCCAGGTGAGGTGCGAGGGGCATGCTATTCACGCTCCGTGTGAATGCGCAGCATCAGTGTCCTCATCGTGGGGGGCGGCATTGCCCCCAGAGCAGAGTTACCCCAACGCCCATACACACAGATCAACCTGAAGACAAAACACCACCGATGCTGATCAGTAGTATCCGTCTCCTGTCTCCTACGCCAAGTTCATCTGCATCCCTAGCAACAATTATTAAAGTAGCAACATACGTCCTGGGAAGTATGTACACTACAGAGGAAGGCAAGTTTCCTCAGAAAGGAAACTTACTTCCGTGTCACTTTTAATGCCATTGTTAATGATCACCATCACCACCATCATTACTACTGGTATCTCATGCACATGGAGGGCTGTCACGTGCCAAGACCATGAAAAATGTTCTGGTGACGCTGTACCGTTTTTAAGCCCCTCTTTCACTGGGAAATTAGATCTCCAAGGGAGCGACTGTCTCCATCTGATTAGGAGGAAACCAAATTAAGTAAATCGCTCCAGGTCCCTGAATAGATGACAGAGGCAGGGCTGGCTGCCCGGCCCGCGCGTGTCCAAGGCCCGCGGTGCCCGGTGAGCACCACGCCATCGGTCTCTGCCAGGCCTGCGCCTTGACCTGGGACACAGGAAGGGGCTGCCACACCCCGAGGCGACCTGCACTGTACCTGGTGGCCATGCCGAGCTGCGACGGCTGCTCCCCGGTGCTGTGGCTCTTGCCAGCCAAGCACTGCTCTGGCTTACTTTCCTGGAGAGGCAGAGAAAGAGTCAGGGGCACACCAAAGAGACCGCTGGGGGCCCCCATGGGCTACCGAAGCCCAGGGCAGGGCCCGAACGCCTCCCCAACTGCAACCCCCAACCCTCCCCCCAGGGAAAGCCGGTCCTGGTCCCCGCCCCCGCTTCAAAGCAGACGATTAAGCTGAGAAATATAGTTGACAGAAATGTGTGTGTGTGACACCAAACCAAACTCCACAATCACTGTAGCTTTATGCATACGCTTTATCCACGGCTGCTTGGATACCCCAGGGCTTTCAAAATATTCTCTTGTAACTGCTGATAGAAATGCCTGAAAATATTTTCACCCCCCATTTTGTGTGGGAAAATGTGGACGCATTCGCTCTTTCTCATACGCATTGTTTTCACAGGAAGTGCTCCTCTGATGTGCTGGGAGGGGCTCCAGAGTCCTCGGGGATGGGCTAGTCCCACTTCTCTCCCTCAGGGTCCCGGGGCGAGTCACCCGCCGCTCGGCCTCGCCGCCCCAGCGGCCTCACCGCCCAGCCGAAGACCAGGCGGGGCCTCCACCCCCGACGGCTGCCGGGAGGGCCGCAGGGAAGCCGCCCTGAACGCAGCGCCCGGCTGCCCCCGCGCAGGGGTGGGCGTGCCCGCTGGCCCCCGGGGCCGTGGGGGGTCACCGGAGGCCGGGCGGGGCGTCGGGTGCAGAGGATATTCAGTTCGATCTCACTATCTGTGGTCATTTGCTCCCCCTCCCTGTTTTTCAGGTTAATTTTAAAAAATAAGCAATATAAAAAATATAACAACAGGGTGACCATCTTAACTTATGATGGGTACTGAGCATTTTTAAATACTCCTTAGCTTTTCATAAGCGCACAAATAATTGATGTGATAACATACCCAGTGATTTTTAATCTATTTATTGAGACTAGCAACTCAGCTACCACTATTAACAATTCGCTGTTAGACTAGTTCAAAAATACCTATCTGAAAAAAATTTTTTTAGATATATTTAATTTCATAACTATTTCTTATTTCATGCTGCAGTCCCCTCAATTCAAACTGGTGAGAAACTAGATACGCCACAATAAACAGGTCTTTGACATAGCCTTCTGCCTAAATTCTAGAACATTCTGCCCTCTAGTAAGGGAGCTAGACAGGCCCTTTAAGTCTCCTGAAGTAAAGTATACGTTTGTTCTAACATGTTTAGATCCTTTGGAAATAATGGAACAATCAGTAAAACTCCACTATGCTAACAAAGTGTCAAAGAACAATTTGATCTTGATAAAATCTTTCCAACAGACTTTCTCCCTTTGAACTAATAAATAAATAAATAGCTCACTGGGGTTTCTTTTACTTTTCTTCTTATCCTCACCTGAGGGCATGCTTATTAGTTTTTAGAGAGAGGGGAAGGGAGGGAGAAAGAGGGAGAGAAACATCCATCTGCTGCCTCCCACACGCCCTGACCAGGGACCAAAACTCTCCGTTTACAGGACGGTGCTCCAACCAGCCGAGCCGCACCGGCCAGGGCTCTTTTACTATTATCATAACAAACTTGACAGTTGCCCCTGGGGTTTCTTCATGCTGCACCCCAAAAGTAATCAGCTTTGCCTCAACCAGCATTTCCTGAACCCCTGCTCGGGGTCCCATACGGACACCAGGGATACCCAGGAATTAAAGCAACACACAGTCTCGGCCTTCATGGAGTTTAGGGTCTAGAAGGGGGAAGGCGCTGATCCAATAATCACGCTCATAGGTGTATAATTACAATCTCTGACACAGTTCATGAAGGAAAGTGCACGGGCAGGGCGCCGAGAGCAGAGAACAGCAGACCAGCAGCTCTGCCCCTGAGTGAGTGGAGGGGACTGAGGCCCGAAGAGCGCCAGGCAGAGGACGGGCCACGTGCGAAGGTCCGGGCGTGGACGGACTTCAGCCAGCGAAGCTGCCGCTCAGAGGGCGGGGGCGGGGGGGGGAACGACAGAAGGTGAGGCTAACGGGGGAGGGCGGACTGGGACACCCAAGTCCTGTGACCGTGTTAAGGATATTGGTCTTCATTATAGAACAGACCTGGGACCCCCCTAAAAGGCTTCAAGCAGGGAGCAGCATAAATTGGGCCCGTACCCTAAGGAGAACAACGTGTCGCAGTACAGAGGATGAAGACGAGAGGCCGAGCGTGGCCGTCCGGCCGTGTGGGCGTGTCGGGGGAGAGACACAGAAAACCAGAGAAATCTTTGGAATGGTACACTGGTAGGACCGGGGGACGGACGGGAGGGAGGAGCGAGCCTGCGGGCGGCCCGTGGCACCGTTTTCGGACTACGGCCGGGTGAGGAACTCACAGGGAAACTGTGAGTTCAATATTAGAGATGACAAGTTGGAAGTATCCCGAAGCAATCACGTGGGGATGTCTCCTAGGTGGCTCCTTGCTACAAGGACAGAGAATGTCAGAGAATGCCTGGCCTGGAAAGAACAATGGGTCATCACCGGCGCGTGGGGGAGGTAGCCGTGACGAAAGTGGGCGATCGAAGCGAAGAGAAGACCCCAAGGCCACCCTCGAGAAGCCCTGCTGGGGGGCTGAGCCGGAGGAGGAAAGCCAGGCGGACACAGCGGCCCGCACACAAGGAGAAGGCTTCGGGAAGGGGGCTGGGAGGGAGGCAAAGCCCCGAAAACAGTCACGGGCATTTAGAGAACGGCCATCCAAGGGAAAAGACTGATGCGAATCGGTCCACAGCAATAAGGATACCTCACCGACATTATCCTCGCAAGAAGGAAAATATTTAACTTAAAAAAAAAAAAATCAAACTATCAGGATGAATCCCTTCTTTCTGCAGATGGAGAAAAGTTTCAGAGGAAAAGTGACGTGACCACTGTCTCCGAGCTGAGAGGTGACAGAGCCAGGCAGCGAGCCCACTCCCCGCACAGCCTCCCCAACTCCTCTCCTCCGCCTCCCGCACACCTGCGGTGTCTCCCCGGCCTCGCCGAGGAGCGGCCCCTGCTACGGCGTACGCTCCCTTCTCTGATGGGAGAGCTCGGGAAACTCCACCGCACAAAACCGATTCCCTGAGCTAAATCCGATCACTGCTTTGTTTCCGGTGCTTACCTCCTTGATTGTGGTATTTCTTCCCCTCCATGAAAACCACCATCTTCCTCCCTTTCTGGGCATCTTATCCCTCATGATAGATTCCACAGTGGCCTGTTTTAAATGGATGGTAACATAAATAATGGAAGCAAAAAAAGATCAACTTAGCACATTCAAACCAAAAGACGCACACATGCAAATTAAAGTAAGATTAAAAAAAAAAAAATCAAGAGAAAACACAACATACTATTTGTGAATTAAAAAATTTCGAGAAGCAAAACCTAATGGCGTCCAAAATTACATTAAGGTAACTTAAGCATGAAGACTTAAGAAGATGTTAAAGGAATAAACAAACAACAAAAAGATACAACACAACAACAACAAAAAAAAGAAAGCATTGAAAATCATTAGTGATTAGTAAAACCAGAAGTTTTCAAATTAAAGTGGCTTACTGGTTAGGATATTGTTACTCTCAATATAAAACAAAAAGTGAAATGATTACTATGGGGTATAGCATAAAAATGCACAAGATGTTTTTAATAAATGTAAATTTCTAAATTTCAATAAACTGAACATAATAAATGCATTTAAAGTATCAAGTGTTAAAAAAAATTCACACTCTTGCCCTAAATGGACGTTTAATGGGAAAATATTCAATATCAACTAATAATTTTCTAAGTGTTTCCAAAGAACAGAATACCCCTCCTGAGGCTAATTCCAGGCCCAAGGCCAACGTTATCTCATTTGCCTTCCTTGGGTCGTACGACTATCAGGTAGCAGTGGACACATCAGCTGGTAATGACTGAACGATTTACTCTTTCCACCAAACAGATTGCCAGGAAGTGGAAAAATAAATAATTCACATATTTAGCCTGAAGTGGGCTTCTTTTTATCATTTAAAACATCCCCACCTGCCACAAAGAAAAACCCGAATACTCTGAAATGCTTAAAATGCAAACATACATACCCTCTTCATGAACAGAACCACCTGTAAAGATGTCAATTACCCTACCCTCCTAATTCATTCATAAATGTATAAAACCCCAATTAAAAAAATTAAAAAACTGACAGGATTATTGTCAGACCTAACAAGATTACTGTCTGAAGTTCATAGGAAAAACATCACCAGCCAAAAAAATTCTCAGAAGAGTAATAAGAAAACACAAGCCTTACTAAACAGTAAAGTATATTTAAAACCACAGTAACTTTTAAAACTGAAGTTGGTACGTGAGTAAACATATTAAGGAAACAAAAGATAAGGTTCAGTAATAAACCTGAATTCACAGAGAAACCTAAGAGCTGACCGAGTTGTCACTGCCTGTCGGTGGGGACGAGGATTCTTTCTCATCCAACGAAAGGTGCCGGGATAGCCGGGCGGCTGCGCCCCGGCCCACACCTGGAAACCTCTGCTCACGGCGCAGGCTGCAGCGCGCTCCGGGAAGGCAGCCGTCAGGCCAGAAGTGAGCCGCAGCTGGTCTGCTCCATTCACAGCCATCCATCCCACCGTCTTGCCAGCTTCCAGCTGGGAGGTGATCATGTGACCACGCTAAGCCAATGAAATGCCCCTGTCCTTCCCATTTTGGCTGTGGTTGTACAAGACGATGGGTAGAACAGTCGTCTTGTGATCATGAAGGGAAAGCGAAGAAAGCCACAGAGACGCTAACCCACACTCATCAAGCCTGGGGCTCCCAGCCTGAGATTCTCATTATGCGTGAGAAGAAACCCCTATCATTTACGCCCCTTGCGGTCATGTTTCCTGCAACCAACGCATCCTAATTCAATAACCAGCTGCAGGGGGAGAAAATGACTTGGTTCCTGATACCTCACCCGTTACTCTCAAAATGAAATCTAGACGAATCAAAGAGCTAAGAAAGTACTAGAAGAGGAGACAGGGCACATTTTCACAAGTGTTGGAAATGAGGAAGCAGGGCCATTCCAAGTGTGACACAAAACCCAACGGCCGTAAAAGAAGGACAAATTCTGCATCTAAATGTACTTCTAGATTAGATAAACACCGTGAACAGTCAAAAAATTACTGACACACTTGTAAAAAGACTTAGGATGTGTATCACAAAGACTCATTTCTTTACGTTTAGAAGCCACAGGTATTTCCTCTTCTATAAACTAAAGCTTAACAGTATTTCCACTGCCCTGGTCTCCTCTCTTATTGATGTGTAAGAGTCGACACATGTAACACAAATGTTTGTCCCAGGTCACAGATACCGTGAGGGACCTGACAGGACAAAGCAAAAACCACCCAGGAGGCAGGCCCTCCGCCCAGTGCACCATGTGCACAGGTTAAAGTACCCTCAGAATAAGGTCAGGAGCCCCAAACTCCAAAACACACACACACACACACACACACACACACACACACGCCCAAGGACGAGCGAATACGCTCATCAAAGTCAGACAGACCTTCCAGAACCTCAGCAAACAGCAAAGCAGCAGAGAGCACTTGCTGCGTGCACTAAGGGCAAACAGAGCGTGTGGCCTTCTAGGAAAACACAGCGCTGGAAAAATGGACAATTCCAGGCCGAGCGCCTAGGACGCGCTGGAGGGGTCCTTGGAGGGAGGAGGGCAAAGCAATGGCCCCGTGGCGCATCTGACCTCTCACCCCGCGACTCCTGGCAGCTGCTCACCTGCACTTGCCTCCAGGCCTGAGGCCGCTGCCTGGCTGAGCGAGCCGGAGCCCCTGGCGGGGCCTGGCGTCTGCCGCGCCGCCTGCCTGCACCCTCCCCTCATCATCCCCGGGCTCTGCCCCAGCGTCCGCCTGCTCTGGCCCCGCCTGTGTCCCTGGCACTTGGGTGTCGGGAAAGGAACCCTGGAGGAGGCAGGACCCGGTGCAGCACCACCACAGTTGGGAGGTTTGCCATGATGAGCAAAAGAGGGAGGGCCGTTCGAGGAGCAAGAGAAGTGGGTTCAAAACCCCTGTCATCGATAGGCAGGAACTTCGGAGAGCACAAGGCAGCCAACTTTGCGGAAAAGCTGAGTTGCACCCGCCCAGACTACCGCGCCCCCCACTGTCAGGAGCCCTTCTTTCTCATGCTGACGCTCACCTTTGGCAGAGGCTTCTGGAAAGCCTGCATGGCCAGGAGCAGAGGGGCCGCCGTGGTCCAGTTATAGTACCTGACGCGAAACAGCGAGACGAACGTCAGATGGAGGCGCGGGCTGAAAATCTCACAGCATGAGAACGGGTCACAGAAAGTTCTAGAACTGTAGCTGGGTCTGTGAAGAGCCCAAAGCTGTTGCCAACACCCCAGCCCTCTCCCACAGGTCCCACCCGTGCCACGGCCACCCAGAGGGGGCGAGCAGCTGTCCCAGGCAGCAGCACAGAGGTGGCGGGAGACCCTGCAGCCGCTGGAGAGCTGCCCAAGGCCCACGTGCACCAGGCACCCGCATGCTGGTGGTACGCCTGCCACGCGTGCAGGAAAAGGCCACCAGGCTCCCTAACTTCACATGGCCCCTCAGGGAGACGAGCTTGCCAGCAGCCCGCGCGTCCCCTGGCCTCAGACGAGGAAGCTGTCCAGGGTGGGCACGCAGTGTCGCCTGTCACACCCGCGGACTCTTCCGGCCCACGCCCCACAGGCCTGTAACCGAGCAGGGCCCACCACAAAGTCTAGCACCGGTGGCCGTGGAAACCCACAGCACCGAAGCCTTCATCAGCCTGCCCACTCTACAACGCCACCGCTAGTGCCGCAGTGTCGCCAATGATACATTCTAACAAAGATGTATAAAAATGTATGTGAATATAAAAACTAATTTCTAAGGTTCGTTGCCTAGGTCTCTGTATTTGAAAAACTAAAACCAAAATGGTGTCATGTCCCTGCGAAAATGACTCTCGAGAGAGAAACTCACTTATTCCCGATCTTCACCACAAGATTGGGGTCGTCAATGAGGGCAGGGTTGTCCGCAAACTGTTGATATGACACAGCTTGTTCCAAAAACGCTTCTGGGAAAGCAATCGTGGGGGACAGGGGAAAAGATAAAGAAAATCCGATTAAAAAAATGAGGCCTATTTCCACTGGCTCCTCCTGTTCACCAGGTAGGTCTTCTGAGAGTTCACACATTCCCACTGCGCAGGTAATTCCTCAGCTGTGTGAGTAAAGGAACTTCAGCTTGTCCGGGGGCAGCGTCCTCGCAGAACGCAGGGGCCGGGCAGGCTGAGGGTGTGGGCGAGGCGCCCCCTTTGCTGGGGTGCAGATTTTACGCGGGGGCAGGGGCGTGGCGAGCACAGTCTATGCTGTGTCCGAGGAAGCAGGCGGGTGGTAAGTGGGGCTCAGAAACTGGGTGACTGGGTTTAGGCCACATTGATGGGTGTGACCGTGGCAAGCGGTTAGTGTCCCCGAGCCTCAGTCCCCTCATCTGTCCCATGCAGATGCTTCCTCGGGAACCGCGAGGACGGTAGAGGCCGTGAATAAGAGGCAGTGTCCTGCCTAAAACAGGGACTCGCTCAGCGTCACCCGGAGGCGGTCTGTCCACTGTCACCTGCAGGAAGTGCGGGGGCGCGTGCGGCCCAGCCGCTGGCCCAGCGGCCCCACTCAGGTCAGAGCTGGCGGAAGGCCCAGGTCAGGAGGCGACTTCGACTCATCGTCGTCGGGCTGACGGGTTAGCGGGGTCAGGGGCCAGAATGCGGAGCCCTCGTCCGTGCGTAATAAGTAGCTCACAAAGCCGTGGAGGGACCTCAGGGTGGAGACAGGGCTGAGGGTGGCATCTCTGGCAGGAAGGTGGCTCATGAGTGGCAAGGGGCAGAGGTATAGGACCCCGCCCCGTTCCTGGCCAGAAATTCAGACCATGGCGGGAACGAGGGGTGGTGGAGGGGGAGATGGTGCAGGGGGTGGGGGAGGGGCAGCGGCCTCCTCAGGGAGCGTGTCGCGCGGGGCCGGCTGGCGGCACGACGGGCGTCTGGCCCACCTCACCACCTAACTGCCCTGAGACTCCGGGAAACCACTTTACGGGTGTGATGGGTGCTATGAGTTCACTCACTACCTAAGTCAGCCCTGGGGCTCCCTTCAGAGCAGCAGGGAGGTGTCCCTGGACTCTCCCAGAGGTCCCCCTCCCCTCCAGGGCGCTGGGTCCCCACCAGCTGCTGGCTCCCACGCCTCTACAGGGCGGCGTGGGCCAAGGAGACACGGGGCAGGCGCAGCGAACATGCCTGACAATGCGCGGCCCCGATGAACTCGTTGCTTGAAGCTGCGCAAGAACCACGGAACCCTGAGGTCAGCCAAGTGCAAGGCAGCACCGCGTGGGCCATGAGCAACAAGGCGTCAGCACCCGGTGCTCTCTTGAACCCAGTGAAGTCAAAGCACAGCAGCCGGGGCTCCCGGACGTTCTAACCAGTCGCCACAAGAGGGCGCCCCTGGCTTGAAGACCAGCTCCAGAGCCGCGCGGTACCTGTGGTTATCTCCCTGTTGTCACTGAGGCCGCCACAGAGGGAGATGGCGATGGAAGGCAGGTCCCTCAGGCCGTCGGAGGTGCTCTCCACACCACTGTCAACGCCGGAGCTGCCCACGGACTGCGGGGACTGGTTGGCCGACCGGGCTCCGTTGTCAGCATGCTTGGGGAGCCCAGAAGGATCTCCACTGCGAGGAGGAGGAGGGGAGGCGGTCTGAGGATTTCCCTGGTCTTGGGTCTCACGCAGACACCAAATGACTCCTGCAACCGGCTACCCCGCAGAGCGGCAAACGGCTTTTTACTGAAATGCCAGGACAGGCATTTCAGTAAAGCACCATGAGAAGCCAGCGCAAGTGAAAGGAATTGCCTCGGGAGAGGACACAGCCTTCCGCCTGTCACATCGCCTCGTACCCCCTCCCAGCCCACCTGAGGGGAACTGCGGAGACAGCGCTCGCCTGAGAGGCCACAGCCCTGCGCTCGCGCCCTCCCCGCCAACCCTGGGGGGCCTAAAGATGCGCCCGGGGCCACGGGGCACCCTCTCCTGGGGAGAGAAGCAGCCATGCAGATGCCCACCGCTGGCCACTGAGTTGGGCGGTGGGCCACTGACCACTGCAACGCAACCTCGGTGTCTGGGGGTCGGCCCGCACCTGCCTTCCTGCGCCGACCGTGCACAGCCACCCCACAGAGACACCCCCACGCTGTCTGCAGGGGCCGCCTGCCATTCCCACTGGTGGCTTTTTCCAGTAAAACAGGAGCCTCCTCCTGCCTTTTCTCGCTCTCTAGTCAAATGGCAGGAAACAGTCGCCTCCCACAGATTCCTACTCAGAGCACAGACAGTGATGCGAGGAACAGAGAGAAATTTTACTTTTTGGGAAAATACAGCGCGGCCACCTCAGGATCCATGTCTGTGAGGTCGTCCAGGTAGACGCCGTCGGCCCCCAGGTGTCTGCTGCGTTTGTCTGCGGGAGCACACAGGCTGGGTCAGAACGCCGTCCTCCGGAAGCCAACCGCAGGCCTCTGGGGGTCTCCAGAAAGCACGTCCAACCACAGCGCGCAACTGTGCTCAGAGGGGCGCACACAGCCCTGCACCCCACGGTCGGAGCCGGCAGCAGAGCACGGCGGAAGGCCAGGCGCCCTGGTCCACACGCAGCGCCCTGGCTTGCTGACCGCGCGGCCTGGGCCAGGCCGGGGACTGCCGAGCCTCACGGCCCGTCTGTGAAGTACGCGCGCTCTGTTGCAGTGATAAGCATCCTCGCTGTTAAGTGGTACAGCTTTCATCGAGCCCAATCACGGGAGCACGGCACGCACGTGTGTGCCGACCGGACCTCCCGCTTACTTCTGGCAGAGAATCGCATCACGGGTTCCTAGGCGGGCAGAACCCTGTACAAAGCTGACTGGCTACCAGGCAGGGTTGACGCCGTCACTCCGACGCGCCACCAGGTGGGCATTAATCTAGGGTCTGTGGAGCACCTGCTGGGTGCCGACCACTACTGAAAGCAGCGGGGAAGCAAAGGTAAACCAGGCCAGAGTCCTGATCTCACAGAGCACTTACGCCCTGGTAGGGCGTCGGCAGAACAAATGAGCGCCGGAATGGGGTAAGCGGAAATTCAACCCCAGTGATGCACTCGGGAGAAACTGGGGACCAGGCAGAGGATCCCAGGTCAGCTGAGCAGCTCAGCATGTGCCGAAAAGGGTTCCTCTGGATCCCGGCACCCCCGGGCTGGAAGACGAGGGGCTCACTAACAATCCCCAAGACCTGCCATACGTCCCATGTTCCACCCCTAGGGTCTCCTAGTTAACATCCTCAGCAAAGGGGCACAACTGAACGCGACAGACGCCGTGGCTCAGGCAGCACGGCAACGGGCAGAGCGGCCCGTCTGGGGGGGTAGCCAGGGTGCCCCAGCAGCGGCCGCACCTTTTCTCCTGGAAGGTGAATCCGTCTTGCTCGCCATGGCAGACAGGGCTCTGGACTCCTCGGTGGCCGGCGGCGGCGGGGCGGCGGCCCCCAAGGCCTCGGCGTCTTCCTCGTTCACAAACTGCATCTCAGTCTGAGACTTGTTCTGCTCTGCAAGTGGCTGCAGAGCAGGCGCCCCGGCCGACGTCGGCGACTGGTCACTCAACGCGTCGGAAGATTCACTGTGAATGGCCTGAAAGTGCATTTCCTCACAGATTTTCCTGCTGCTCAGTGGGCTGGAGTCTTTCGTCTTGTGTGGCGACGTCTAGATCAAAGGAACAGGGAGAGAGAAACAGAGGGCTCAGAGCACAAGCAAACAGGAAAATGATGTTAACTGAAGAACCGCAATTAGCCAAAAAAGGATCTGCCGCACTGTCCGCGTGTGGCAGGAGACACCTAGGCCTCGGGAGTCCCGTGGCGATTTCCACACCTGCCAAAGCAAAGGAGCTTCCGTGTAAAATAGCCACTGGCCAGTAGGCGTGAGTGAGCGGGACCGGCCAGCAGGGGGCAGCAACCCACATGCCCATCAGCGCATAGCACAGCGCGGGATCCTGCAGTAATGAGAGTCTGTGGGTTGCGATGACGTGCGACAACGTGAGGCAGCTTGCAAAACTAATCTCTGCTGTCCGGGAGTCAAGAGCACGTCTGTCCCCGAGGAGGGTCAGTATGAGCAGTGACTGCCACGGCAGGGGCTTCCGCTTCGGACCCAAGGTCGGTCCCGCGTTGCGGTCCGGAAGCCAGTCACACGGACACCTTCACAGTGGGAAAACGCACTGGCCTACGTACACACTCACAACCTGGGATTTTCCATGTGCCATATTTTGTCGTGTATAATGTGCACTTTTTTGCCCAAATTTTTGAGGGAAAAATAAGGATGCGCGTTATACATGGGTAGTACTAATTCCATATCTAAGTGTTTTTAATTCTTTTATTTATGCTTATGCGTTAAACGTGTAGCTCTAAAAAGCCATAATGATATCTGTATGCAAAATAATACTGTGGAATGCAATAATCGGTTTTGTTTCTAAATGTAAATAAATTGAAAACTGAATTAAAAAATTAAAACAAAAGATTTTTTCCCTGAAAGACTGGGCCAAAAACATGGGGGTGCAGTATACTTGGGAATGCATTACACATGGCAAAATACAGTATGTGTGCATATTTCACCCCAAAATGTGAATAAGTGAAGATTTATTCGGTGGCCGGTTTACATGAATGGGGAATTAGCATTTCTGATTCTGCCTCTCCAAGGAATTTCCCGTTATGGAAAAGATTAATCCAAACAAAAACCGAAACGCCATTTGCGCATCAGAACAGGGTTCAGCCTGGCATCTCACGGCTCCCGCGCAGAGGAGCCCGGCGCTGCGGCGGGCCTGCGGTTGGAGCTTTTTCAAGAAGTGGCGGCTCTGCACTTCCGTGCCGTTTCCCCAGGACCCAGTGACACGGGTTTGTCAAGGCAGTTGGCTGGGTCAGAAGCTCGCCCATGGGCAGAGAAATCAGCATTTTCCGTGAGAGCTACACACAGCCTGAGAAGGGCAGGAGTCCACAGCATCGGCCTCCACGGACCTCCCCCCGCAACGAGCTGCCGGCCGGGAGCCTCAACAGGAGCGCCTCCCGCCCTCCACTCACTCGCTCGGATCCTGAACTTTTAGTGGGGAGACGAGAGGCTGGGGCATCTTCCAAGGGCCTTATAATAAGTTAAAAAAAAAAGCTTGAAACAGAGTAATTCAAGAGTCTTCAAAGGCATTTGCATATGAAAAACAGCTTCTCGAACGGAAGCCCTGCGGCCATGCCGGTCTTCGGAAGCTGCCTGACTGAGGCGGCAGGACCGGCAGGACCGGCGCCCTGGGAGGGCCACCTACCTTCGCAGCTTGCGGCAGCTCCCCCCAGAGCCACAGCATCTCCAGGTCGCTCTTCTGCGCCGTCCTGCCTCCCGACTTGCTGACCAACTCCGAGTCGCTTTTTGGTGTGGACGGTCGGGACCCTGAAGGGCTTAACAAAACACAGGTCCATGGTTACAGTTGGAAGGGAAATTTGTTTTTAAGTGTTTTTGGCCCAGAATTCCATGGTTCAAATAGCCCAGGAAATGCACCCAAACCACTGCTCCCTTACAACAGAGATCTTCAACCTTTTCCACCTCAGGGCACACGTACACTAATTACTGAAATTCCCCAGCACCCCCAGAAACAGGATTTTGGCAGATCTGACCAAAAAGATAGGTATAATTTTGATTCATTCACACCAGATGGCTATTGTTGTGTTGGCTGTCGTCATTTTCTTATTTTACAATCAAGGGAAAAGAGGTCAATGCCCCGGACGAAATAGGCAGTGCATGTTTTAACAGTTCTTGCAGCACATGGTTGAAAATCACTGGCTTATGAGCATGGCTTTGTGACACGTCCCTCCTGTGGCCGCCAGGGGTCCACAGGACACCTGGCCAGGTGGTAGGTGCTCCCAATATGGGTAACCTAGTCCCAACCCACTGCTGAATTCCCAGTAGAAAAAAAGGAGAAGTAGCATCAAAAAGGGGAAATTGAAAGAAAAAAAAGAGGTAGAGTGTTCCTTTACTTCACAACCAGCCATGGCCCCGCCCCACCCCCCCGAGGTCACCCCTGTTGCCCCCCCAACTTCCAACCACCCTAACGGTGGCTGAAGGGCCTGGCCGCCGCTGGCATGTGCCCCTTCTGTTCTATATTTAAAATACTGACTAGAATCTTCACTGGCTTTGAAAAGAGGAAACTGCATCATGTGCCAACTTAACCACAAATGCCAGACGCCACAAACTTGCTAACATGGCAGGGCCTCCATGCTGCCGACTTTACAATCTTACACCTTCCAGGAACGCTTCAAAGGTTCCTGCTTGCGAAGGCTCCTTCTCTAACAACATCTTGCAACGCTTCATTCTCAGGCCACCTTTGAGGCGGCAAAAACTTGCCTTCTCATTTCCATGTTTTCTCTTTTACTTTCGAGACAAAAGTCTGAACAAGGTCTTACTTCTGTTCAGCCAGTCACCTGCCAAGAGTGACCAACTTACCTACAAAATCCGCACAGGATTCTAAACAGACAGACGGGAAAAACAACGCACCCCTGTAATTATTGCTTGTCTTTCCTCTCCTGCATCGTTTCCTCCAGAGGAGGGTGGCAGCTTTCAAACACAGCCAGACCTAAGAGCCGCTGCCACGGGCTTCTTCAACGCGTGCCGCCTCCCCGGATGCACCTGACCGCCGCACCTGAGTTAGAGCCACTCCGCTGGCATACAGCCCTCCTATCGCGACACGGGGAGCTCATGGATGATACGTAACTTGTATCAAAGCAGGACCCTCAGGGGCTACGTTGATCCTGGATGTCCTTATTCAAGCCAGGGGGACCGAGCAGACTGAGCCTGTTCCCTCCCTCCCACTCTGGGTACACGAAGGCTGCTTCCTTCTCCCAAGGTGCCTGCCGCCCTCCACATACCCACACAGCGGGGCGCTGGGGGGGAGCCCCCAGCTCTGCTCTGCCAGTCTGTGGAGAAGAGGATCCTGCGGTGGCATTTCGTGAGAGCACATAACATGGGACACGTCCCCCAACGAGCAAGCACTCCTGCCCTTCAGGAAGGAGTTCCTCGCAGGAAGGCTGGGTCCGCCGCACGTCTGCGTGGTAAAGGGCTATCACCTTCCAGCCTCTCTGTTTCCTCTAGCTCTGCCACTGAGCTTTCCTCAAAGGGTCGCGGCTGTTCCGACACTGTGATGTCCACGATCACACGTTCGGTGCACCGGGGGCACCGTGGCCTCCAGGACGGGGCCTTTGTGCCTACAACTGCAGCCTGAGGCCACGCCCTGCCAGGGCCCTCCCGGGAGATGACCTCCCACCCCCACCAGAGCCGCGCCCAAACCACGAATCACTTGTCTACAAAGCCCCTGCCATTCATCATGCTGATCACACAGAATACAACTGTATTACCTTTTCTTACTGCTATTTGTTATAAATTCTGTGAAATAAGTGGTCTCATCCACTGCTACTAAATTAGGTAAAGCCCTTTCGGCTGAATCATTTGCCGGGTCAGCAAGCGCTTTCTGTGAAAGGCCGGAATGCAAATATTTCAGGCCTTGTGGGCCACACGATCTTGATCACAGCTACTCAGTTCTGCCCACCCCCGAGCACAAAAGCAGCCAGAGCTGGTATGCAAACCAACTGGCGAGGCTCCCGCAAGCCTTCAGAGAAACAGAAGGCACGCCAGATGCGGCCCCGGGCCACGTGTGGTCTGCCAACCTCTGCTCCAGAAGAATGCAAATGCTGAAGACAGTGCCCAAGCGTGTCCCGACTCCAGAACCCAAACGTTGTGATCCCTCCACCAAAAGCCCGCAGGAGGCCAGAGGCCCTTGGGCTCGAAACGCGCACTCACAAAGGAGCAGGCCCATGCAAAAGGCACAGACAGGCTGCACGCCCCGCCTCTCCCAGGCCGGGCGCGGCCCCCGCCGTGCTGGCCGCCTAGGCCGCGCCAGCCTGTCTCAAGGGGTCTGCACCCCACGCTCACGCCCCCTCTGGCTGCTCGCCGTGGCGGGGGGGCTCGGCTGACCATGAGTTCGTCAAGGACTCCCGATACTGCACAGGACTGATGAGAACAGCGATTCCGAAGTTTTCCGCGATCAAATAGTAGACTTTCACGATCACGGGTTGCTCCAAAAAGCAAGCTTACAAGGTTACTGACCGATTTTCCTAATAAGTAATGCACTTATATGAGCCCTACAAGTGTTCAGTGTTTCTGCCAGTCCCAATGAGGCAAACTGGTTTTAACTGCTCGCTGCTCGGTTTACCTCATTTTAAAATGGCCTTTCTTCTGCACATAGGACCTCTGAACCAAGTACATCCTGAGATTTAGTTCTTCAATCAAAAAGAAAAAGTTTCCCATCTAGAAATTACCCATAGCTTCATTCACTAAAATTTTAAAGTAAACCCCTAAGTCCACAAAGCGGGACAGCCAGCCCGAGGGCGGGCAACCCTGAGGGACTCAGGCAGGAGCCCGAGACCACTGCGTCATACGAGAGAACCTACGATCCTCACCCTTAGGCTCTACCCTACCCGATTCTCCAAAACTCTGCTCTAGAAATGCTGGGAAAACATCCGATGCCATTATTCAGAAAGTCTAATGAGCTATTTAAATAGTTATAATAACTTCCATTACACTAAACTGTGTCCTAAAAAAGAAATCTTGTAAACTTATTTGCTGAACAACCCTAGACAAAAAATGAAGATCATATTCCCAATTTTTATGTCATTATTCTATTTTCAAAGCACTCCACAGAATAAGGAAGAATTAGATGCACAACCATAATTCCCAGAGTCAAAGTTAGTATTTGAAAAAGAATCCACAAGTGCTTACAATGAATGGAGAACAGTAATCTCTATGTATTTTCATTACAAGTAATTTGATTAGCTAGTAAAATAGACTTGTAAGAGTTAGATCATAATTTTCACTTCATTGACTCTATATGCATTTGCTGCGTAAGTAATTTTGGTTAATGGTAAAATAGATTTGTGAGAATTAAATGAACCATTTCGTTATCAAAGACATCCGAGTGGGGAAATGGCCACTACCTTTCCGAAGCGAGGAGGAGGGACGGCTGCGGAGGGCAGGAGCTAGAGAGCCCCGCCTCGGCCACGTCCGCCAGGTGAGGCGGGGTCCTTTTGCGCTCCAGCAGGCTCCTGGGTCCCACGCGGCACACGCATTCAGAGGAAAGAAAGATCACAGATCAGTCAAAAGAAGTGAAAGATCACACAAACCACAGGACCACTCTCACCGGTCCCAATTGTAAGAAAACGAGTATTACATACAAATGCTCATTTGTAACCGGCAGTGGCAGACGATGTGCTGAAATTACTGAGAGCAACATGAATTTCCTCAACTGCAGACACAGGAAAAACTGCCCAAGACCCATTTCACTTTCTAGTTCATTCCTATGCCCATAAAAGACTGTTTTCCTCTGGTCAGAATTTAGTGCTTTACCCCATCTTTGGAGTATGGGGTTTATTTGTTCTGTCAGCTGTCTCAGTAAAGAGAATACATAATTCCAAGCACGGAAATTATCTATTTATGCTCATCTGTAACTGCATTTGACATGGTCAGACCTACATAATTGGACATGGTTATCACTCTGGATTCACGGAGTAAAACATGAAAGACTGAGAAAACCTCTTCAGGGTTGTGTTGAAAACATTTATTTTAAATGCTTTAAGTTAAAGTGTGTTTGAACAGACTTTAACACCTATTAGTGGTTTCCGCCCCATTCCACACATTTTCTCCCGGAAGTACATCCCCCGCCCCCGGGGCTCTGCAAAGGTCCCCGCATGCACTGTGCAACAGGACACTGTGCCACAGGATGGCCGCAGCCGTGGGGTGACTGCCGAGCACGCGAACCACGTGACTAAACAGGTCCTGGACCTGTGACACACACAGCGCTCCCAAAGGCTTGGCACAAAAACAGAACGTGCAATCTCTCGTTCATGTTTGCAAAACCTGACTCCTTGCGATGGTATTTTGGATTTGCTGGGTCAAATCTAACACATCATCCAAGTTAATTCTATCAGTTTCTTTTTACCCTTCAAGGACGGCTGCTAGAAAATTTTAATTTACCCATGGAGCTGGCACCAAGTGCCTGTTGGACAGGGCTGGGCTTTACACAAGTCGGAGGCCCCCAGCCCCACCCTGGCTGACTGACAGTCACTGTCACCGTCCTGGCTGGCCCCAGGCACGCGTCCCGTCTCGTCCTCTCTGCCCCAAAGCTCAGCGCAACCTGCTCGCCGCAGTGTGCCATTCACGAGGGCGCCGGGACCCAGGGGGCGGGAGACGGGCTGTGGGCGCGTGTCAGAGCTCGCAGGGACTCCCGCGTGCCCGGGTTAATCCAGGAGACAATCTCACACATTAAGAATAAGAACAGGCCACGGATGTCGCTGTCACGTGGAGTGCTATTCCTCAAGCTCTTTTCATGATCACCACACTCCTGAGCGTTTTGAGACATATTTTCCCTAACAGCCCTCCCTCCGCCATGAAATCTCCATGCCAAGGACGTGCCGGGGACCCGTTTGTGGGCGGTGGCTCATTCCGGGCCACAGGTCAACACAATGCCTAAGATGGGCTGTGCCACCCGCGAACCAATTTTTGTCCCGATGGGCTGCTATCACCCCTATTGAGATGGCGTGATCTAGGTCTGTCCCCTCCCCTGGTCTTCGGAAAACTGCCCAGAAGGGCTCACGTGTGTTTTCGTGGGCTCCACCGACTTAAAAGCCTCGGGAGTCTCAGTGCGCGACCCGCGCGCCGGCAGCTCTGGCTCTGCAGCTCCTACCGGAAGTCCGGGCCGACGGGAGCTCGTTGCAGGGAAATGAGCGTCCCTGAGTTCAGCAGAACAGCCTGAGCTCGGGGCAGGGCGTCGCTCTAACAGCCCCCAGCGACCTCAGCGGCCCCTGAAGCCACCTTGCCGCTTGAACCTTTAGAGTTAAGTATCAAGAGAGGCCGTTGGCACCTGTTTTCTCCTGGTGACAGTCCGCGTGATGTACGTTAACTTTCTGTGTCAGCTCGGGGATCCAAGGGCCACCTCTGCAGAGCAGCTCCGACACTGGATGGTAACGGCCTCTAACATATGCCGCGTTAACCCTCGCCTGCGCCTCCGACTTGAAGCCGCATTTTTTCCAAGAACTGACTTCAGACCCTCCGGGGGCCAGGACTGGAGAACCCACCCCCCCACACGCACGCACACGCACGCCAGCCAGCAGCTCACCTGGTGCTGGGTGACCACTCTTGGTCAGAATTGGAGCACGATGCGGACTGAGGGTGGGTCGTGCCTGGGGACAGGTTTTCCTCAGGAACGTCTTCTTGGAAGGGAGGCATGTCGTTAGCAAGAGCTCTGTTTTAAAAAATAACCATAATAATTAAAGTCCAAGGTTTATCGGCAATAGATGCATAACAAAGGCACGTTTCCATCTTTTCTTGAGTTCTTCTGAGCGCTTTGGAGTCACGTGATCTCTCGGAACCACCAGCCCTATTCCAGGCCGTGCAGGGGGAACACGGAGATGCAGGCCCACACAAACGTGCCGTGTACGTTCACGCTACGGCTGAATTAGAAATGTAACATTATTTGGTTCAAGTGTGTGGACTTGCCCACGTGCGTGATGACGGCCCTCCCTGTCCTTGACACTGTAACACCTTATCCAGTCTCCTTTCACGTGTCATCTCACAAAGCCTGAGGGGTAGACGGGGCCCCAAAGTGGACCCGGGGTTATAAAACTCTTGCCATGCCCGGGCCGGGGGCGGGGGGGGCGGGGGGGATGCTGCTGAATTAGTACACGACCAAACACAGTCCACGTTTCATCCAGCAGAATAAATAAACGCTATAAACCAAATAGATCTTAAAGTACCAAATGACTGCCGATCCACCTCGTTTCCAGTATAACACACTCACTACAAAAGTGATTCGCTGTTTCGCTCAGGCCGAGGCCATCTGTCTGTAGATGGGATGTCACCTGAAATACTACCTATCCCCACGTTCTGGAACTGAAAGCCCAGCCACCTGCTTCCGAGGCCACGGCAGACGTGAGGCCATGGTTAGGAAAAGCGACGGCTGCCAATCTGCCCTTACTTTTCACCAGGGGAAAAAGGCCTCTCTCCCGAATAATGAACCTGAGGTTCCTTATGCCTTCTTTACGTTAACAAGATACACAACAATTATCAAAAGTTACACTGAATTACAGAAAAATTGGAAACATCAATCAAATATCCTTTACAAATGAGTTCTTTCAAAACTGGCATTTTTCACCAAAATAGTAATGTAGAGAAACAGAATTTCACCACACTGTTAAAAGCAAAAATAAAACAGATGTCCACTAAACTTTTGGCCAAATCAAAACTGAAAAGGGCGGCATGTAGCGACAACTGGTCATGTTCTACACTGACCTGCAATCCTCAGTCTATGGTAGATCAGCCCCGGACTACAAATTAGCCAAAGCCTGGTACATAGTTGGTGCTCCAACAAGAATAAGGAGGCTCTGAAACAATGGCTGCGTGCACCTTTCATGAGTCAAGGGTCAGTCTGCTCTGCTTCTGCTGCTCGGCTCCGTCCTGGGGAGCAGGAGGGAGCAGCCACGGACATCGGGCACCGCCAACCATCTCTCAGTTATAAGCTACATCAAATCTCTGCTACCTGCCCTGACTGTTTGGCTCAGGGGGTCGGAGCGTCGTCCCGTAAACAAGAAGGTCGCAAGTTCGATTTCCAGTCCGGGCACATGCCTGGGGTACAGATTCGGTCCCTGATTGGAGCGCGTAGGAAGAGACAACTACTCAATGTTTCTCTCACACACTGATGCTTCTCTCCCTCTCTTTCACCCTCTCCTCCTCCCTCTCTAAAAAATAAACACATATTTTTTAATAAATATCTTTGTTACTTAAAGACTGGGTCCACAGGATTCCAAGATTCGGCCTAAAATGCATTAACAGAAGAATAAGGAAATCTGGGGGGGAAAGCATAAGAATCACCTTGAAAAACGTCATCGCCCGGCTCTCACGCGGGCCCGGCCTTTGACTTGCCACTCACCCCGTGCTGCCCGGCGGGTCGGCCTCCTCATCGGAGCTCATCTCTATGGGGAACATGTCTTCGTCTTCCGATGTGTTCGTGTTGTCGTCCCTCTTCAGACTGTCCAGCTGGGACTTTCTCCTCCTCTTTCTTCTCTTCTTCACTGAAGAGCCACCAGAAGGGGCCTCACTGGGTGCCAAGGCCGGGGCTGGCGAGCCGGCGTCCAGGCCTCTGGCGCGGTCGACGGAGCTCCTTCTCAGCTGGCTCTCCATCCGCGCGGCCCCCTCTGACAGGATCGGGGAGGTGGCCAGGTGCATGGGGATCACCTCCTGCGGGACAGAAGATACTTTTAAAGAACAGTCTCCTTCGTTTGGGCTTAGGGGCAGGTCGTGCCAAAGGCCAGTGCTCACGTGAGAGCCCCGCACGGCCCTGGGACCGCCACGCAGGGCCGCGGGGAGGGACGCCACAGTGACCTGGACAGGAGACCACGAGGCGAGCAATTAACTCACCGAACGCCACTGTGTGCTGAGTCTGCCGGTTCATAATTACAACAAGGGGAGGTCATTATCAGTGATTGCAAGACACCCAAATTCAACGTTGTCTGAACAAGCCAGAGTAGAGAGGAAAACTGGGCTTTGAGCCACTGCATCTCCCTGGGAACTAGACTCCGTTCTGCATTGTCGTGGGGGGGGTGTGTGTGTGTGTGTGTGTGTGTGTGTGTGTGTATGAGTGTGTATCTTTAATATGCGCTGAATTAAGATCTCAATAATGACTTTTAGGAGAGCACACGACAGCCCCCGGGCTGCCTCCAGCACCCGCGCCTGCAGGGCCGCCCGGACGCCCCCTTTCACTCACCCGTTCTTAAAAACTAAAGGAGGGGTTGTGGGGGATAAGGGCCCTCAATGGGTATGGGGAAAATATTATAAAAAATATGTCAATAAAAATTATTTTTTTAAGAAAAGAAAAAAATACACAGCCTGTGAATCCAAGAACTGACTGATGATTCACCGTATTTTAAAAACTATCGGAATCACTTTGTTAATGATTCCTTTATTATGAGACACCTGGTAACCAGAAGTGCAAAACACATGTGAACGAGAGGATGCTGCAGAAGAAACATGCTGCTGACAGTGGAAAGTGGCTGAGAGACCAGCACGTGTGGAACAGACATAAAGCCTACATCTGAGAGGCTCAGCAGCGGCCGGAAGGGACGGGGCGGCCGCGGCATCCACGGCTCCGCTGGACCGAAGGAAGACGGAGCGGGGAGCGCGCTGGCGCTGGGCCAGGAGCAGGAAGGAGGGAGGTCCCCGCCTGAAAAGGGAAGGGGTGGAGCCCCGCAGCTGAGGGGAGACAGCAGCCTGCCGCGGTCCGGTGAGGGAGGGCACAGGCTCCCCAGGTTCCGGTGAGGGACGGCGCAGGCTCCCCGGGTTCCAGCAGCGTCTTGGGGGCAGAAAGGGTCATCTGATAGGACAGAGCATCCCCTGGCCTCTTGACCCCGGCCACCCCCTGGCACCCTGCAAGGCCAGCCCCACAGGCCCTCACCCAAAATGTTTCCCCAGCCCTTACAACATAACATCTGTTGAAAGCCAAGGGGAAAGAGAAGTTAAAAGGGCAAGCATGTGTTTGAGGTGGAGAGTTTCGGTGAAAGCACCATTAGGAACTAATACATAATTTCACAGCCTTCCTTTGAACGGCGGGGGGGGGGGGGGGGCGGGGAGGTAAAGAGCAGGCAGGCAGGGGCCCCTGACAGCCCCGGGGCAGTTACAGAAGACAGGAGGCGCAGGGCAAGGACGCGGGTGCTCCGTGCCACACGCGGGTGCTCCGGGCCACACGCGGGTGCTCCGTGCCACACCCGTGGGCAGGCCAAAAGGACACAGGGTGGGAGACGGCTCGGCCCTGACGCTGGGCCTAGGGAAGTGTGCCGTGAGCCCAGAGCCACTCCTCTTTAACCAGGCTACCTTCCCTTAAAGGAATCAGTTCCAGCAGATTTCCCTGAGGAGTCACGGCCTCAGCTCACATATTCTCAGTGGGTGAAACAGTGAGAACAGCGGTTTATCCAGAAGAAAACAGGGATAAATCTTCATGACCTTGGACTTGGCAAGGGATTCTTAGATACGATACCAAAAGCACAAGCGACAAAAAAAAAACTAGGTAAATTGGACTACCTCAAAATTAAAAACTTTGTGCTTCAAAGGACACCATCAAGAAAGTGAAAAGACAGCGGACTTAACGGACGACAATATTTACATGTCAAATATATTATAAGGGGCTTGTATCTAGAATATAAAATGAATTCTTACAATCCAGTAATAAAAACACAGCCCAATCAAGAAATGAGCAAAGGATCTGAATAGACATTTCTCCAAAGAAGAGAGATAAATGGCCAATAAGCACTTGAAAAGATGCTCAACATCATTAGTCACCAGGGAGATGCAAATCAAAACCACAGTAAGACACCACTTCCCCCGCCCTGGGACGGCTGCAATCACAAAGTCAGACGGCCAGTACCCAGTACCGGTGGAAAAGCAGACAACAGGGAACTCTTACGCGCCGCTGATGCAAACATAAGTGGCGTGGCAGCTCTGGGGAGCAGCCCAGCAGTTCCTCAACTGTTACACACAGAGCGGCCCTCTGACCCAGCAATTCCGCTCCCAGGTGCTCGCCCGCGAGGAAGGAAAACATACGCCCGTGTGAAAACTTGCAACCAAATGTTCACAGCAGCATTATTCACAACGGCCAAAAGGTGGAAGCAACCCCGGTGCCCATCCCCACGGGAAGGGATCGACAAAGCGTGGTGTATCGACACAACGGGCCGCCGTCCACGTACGAGGGACCTAAGTGCCGACACGTGCTGGAACGTGGATGCCCTTGTGCTGGAACACGGCTGACGCTGAAAGCGCTATCATAAATGAGAGCAGACGGGCAAGAAGGAAAAGGTGCTACCGAAGCCCATCCGTATGAAGGCTCAGAAGAGGGCAGTCTACTGAGACATAAAGTGGATTAGCGGTTGCTTAGGACTCAGCGGGGTCAGCTTGGGGGTGAGGATGGGGAGATGACAACTACAGGGAACAACAGCTTCTCCTTGAGGTGATGAACATGATCTAAAATTCACTGCGGTACCAAGTGCACACAACTGTGAAAACACTAAAAACCACTGAACCGTACACTTGAAATGGACATATTGTACGGTATGAGAATTATCTCCACAACGCTGTTAGAAATTTTAAAATAATAAAAATAAAAGCGATCCGGTCACTTCCTAAACAAAAATTCCAACACCCAGCCCTCCAGCATAACCTGTAAGCATTGGACAAGGGTTCAGGCCAAGGCGATTCGGTCCACCTGTCTCCCTGCAAACAGCAAGCCAACGCAAGCGGCCGGGACTGCAGAGTCTCGTGGGGACCAGCACCCAGCAGCCCACCTGGCTCGATTCCAGCACAGCCCAGTGCCCGCTGTCCCTGCTGCCATCGCCCGCCCACCCTTCCGCTGTCCCCTCGATAAGCACTACGCAGGGCTCGAAGCCAGGAAGTGGCCTGACCCCTCAGGCTTCCTTACCTGATCATTATCAGTCTCTTGAACAAAAAAAGCTTCTCCATTATCTCCCAATTTCATGTGCAAATCCACGGACTCCCCGTTGATTTCTATGTCGACCTGAAAGGAAAACGGGCATCTCTACCACGGGACGCGAACCGCACGGGAGGCCCCGCCCCCACAGACACAGGCACCGGAATCGCATGTGTGCCGCAGACACCTCACGGTTCCCGCTCTCGGGTGGCCAGTCCGGTCCTACCTACGCTGCCCCCCACCCCCCGTGGCCCTGAGCCCAGGCAGGCTGGGGACTGCCTCAGCGAGCAGAGCACAGGGGACTGGCACTGGCCGGCTTCAGAGGCTGGGTCCGGGAAACAAGGCAGTGTCCACCCGGCTCTCTCTCTGTCTCTCCTTCTCGAGACGTTCGCCCTTGTGGCCAGCCACCATGCTGTGAGGATGCCCAGGCCACTGCAGAGGCCAGCAGCCTCAAGGGGTGACCTTGTCAGCCGAGGGCCACCCACCGGCTGTGTGAGCGAGCATGCATTCAGAGGGCTCCCGCCCCCAGCCCCGAGCCCCCCGGCGGAGGTCCCCCACGGCGACAGCAGAGCCGGACAGTCCTGCTGCGCTCGGGCTGGGTTCCTGACCACAGAACGCGGGAGACCAACGCAGCGTGGGCGTATGCCCGTCAGTTCTGGAGTCATTTTCACAGCCAGAGCAACCGGCGCCGTCTGAGTTAACTGTCAGCTCCGTGAATCGCCCTTCCCCGTGGAGAGCTACACATCGGGCCCATGACGGAGGGAAGCCACCCCCAGGCCCCGGGCCCTCACCACTTTCTCTCGGGAGCGCAGGACCCCCATCTTCCCAAAGCGGACGTGGAAGGGCGAGCACTGCAGGCTCCCGTTGGGCTGGCGGACGACGATGATGTCGATGCATCCGGACAAGGTGGCGGGGTTCAAGCCCTTGTAGAGTTCCTTCACGGTGACGAACACCTGGCCCGCCAGCTGCCCGACGTAATTCATGGTTTGGGCCTAGAAGACAGAGCCAAGCGAGACACACAGACAGTTACAAGAATGCGGGGAAGGCCGTCTATCTAGAGCCAGTCCAAAGGAAATCCTCGTTTCAAAACGTGGATTACGCGTTCATCTGGTTCCCTGGTGTGGGCTCCACTCCCACCCCACTGCCCCCTCCCTCCCAGACCACGAGACACCGGCCCCCACCCTGGAGACCCAGGAGACCTCACCCCGTCAGCACTGGGCCCTTCCTCGCTGAGGTCAACGGTCCTTGTTCAGAGCACCCTCACGGCCCCTGCCACCCACACTTGCTCTGCGCCTACGTGCAGGTTCTGCAGACTAAACCTCAAGACCATTGAGCAAAGACTACACGTGATACCTTTCCATGTCCCCCACGTGCCACATCGAGTAGGTACTTAACGAGTTGAAAAAAATGACTGTTTACTTGACAGGAAAAAAAAAATGGTTTTCATTTTGACCACCCACACCCTGGCCCTTGCCCGCCCACATGACTCCCTTCCACACTCCCGGGGACATCTGTACTTGGCCTCAGTGTCTCTGCCCAGCTGGTCAGCGGGAGTCCACTGAACAAAGAGCCAGGGCCTCCAGCCTACCAAGGGCCTGGTGCTGGGGACACCGCGACAAAGAAGACACAGTCCCCATCCACTGAAAGGACTCGCGGGCCTGTGAAGGAGAAAGAAGCAAAACACAGGCCCCTACGGTGGGTGTCAGTGTCATTGCGCGTGTTCCTGTCGCTGAAGTAAACGCAGGGGAGTGAGGGCAGCGGGCTGCGGAGACCGCATGGCAGGCGCTGGCGGCGGGGCCCGGGGGAGGCCGGGCGCTTTCAGGCGCCAGCGGGACGAGGGCCCTGCAGGGGGGCAGGCGTGCAGGAGGACACGGGCTGGGCTGTCCCTGCAGCGGGGAGCGTGCCGGGGAAAGGCAGCGCGTCGAAACAGTGCCAGGAGACACGACATTGCCACACGGCGACAAGAACCCACAGGAGACGCAGGAACCGCACAGTGACCGTTCAGACCGCGATTTAGAAAAAGCTCGGGGCAGGAGCGCAGGGGCAACCGACAAGAAAGGAAGCGGAAGGCAACCGGTGCTGTGCATGGGGGTGCAGAGGAGAAATGACACCAGCCTGAAAGGAGAGTGACAGAAGAAACAGGCGAAGGGACAATGCCAGACACCCAGGCACAGAGCAGCAGGGTCTTGGCTGGCGCTGTGCTCAGGCTCTGTCCACCACGCCGGTGCTGATCCACGGCCCCGCCTCCAGCCCCAGGGCAGGGCCCTGTCACCGGCCCTGCGGGGACTCGGACACCTCAGCCCGGTCCTGGCCGCCAGGCCTCGCCCTGCGACTTGTCTCTGTGCCCACCTCCTCCTCCTCCGCACTCAGCTGCACTGCGCCGCCCCACCCCACCCCGCACCCGCTTTATCCCCCTGACGGGGCTGTGCTCCCCAGTCCCTCTGGCTCTGGGTCCCCTCCTCCCAGCTCTGGCGGCCTTACCCCAGGGCCCTGGTCCCCACCCTCTTCTCCCCTCCTCTCTGCACACGTAGCACTTTGGTGGACTCGCGAGACCATGTAGTTCAAACCTCTGAGAAGGAAGGGTTTGCACAACGTGACTTCCCATCCGTGGACCCCAAGACCTGGCCCTTTCTCCCGGCCCACAGGCCTCAATTCTCCAAGGCGCTGACCTCCCCAGGGGCACATGGGTCACACTGACCCGGCCACCTCAGGTCCCTTACAGTGATTCCAGCAGCCACCACACCCGTCCCTGACCAGCCTCCACTCAGAGTTTGGTCCTGTGACCTTTCTTGCTCTGATGTGTCTACTTTGCCATGTGGTTCTTCTGTCTGTTGGTGAAGCTGGATTCTCCTTGAGGCCAAGGATCAAGCCTTGTCCTTGCAAGTTAAAAAAACAAAAAATACCTTCTGGAAACTTCCCCCCAATCCCTATGACATAAGCAAGAGTGATATTAGCACCCCTGATTTAAAAATGAGGAAACTGAGGCCCCAACATGAGTCTCAGGTGGGTCACATGGCCTGCGTGTACCGGGCAGAAAAGAACGGTGGCTGTAACTCTCATTTAGGACTGGCCAGAGTCAAAAAGCAAGGAACACAACCTACAAAAGAAAGCGCAAGAAAGCCCTCACTTCCCATTTCAGGACTTCAAACAACGGCCTCTGGCGTGGTTCACCCTCCCCGGCATGAGAGGAAACCAGTCACACACGCGGCAAACACGCAAGAGATGCGCACACGCCTGCCACCCTCAGACAAGGACCAGCAGGGCAGCGGTCCAGCTTCCACCGCGAACACAAGTCACATGCCCCCACACACAGAAAACAACCCCGTTTCTAAGCGCGCTTAGTGGTGCAGGTTAACTAACTTCACTGAAAACGGGAGGGGGAACAGTCCCTGAAAAGATGACTATAAAAGGATTCTTTGTAGCCCTGACACTCCTTACAGGGAATCGTTGTATAAAGGAAATCGTCGCCACCGTGTTCCCCCCGGATCTGACCACCGCGTGCTTCCTGAGAGGCAAACCTCTGACAACGCTGCTACACACATGCAGGGCGAGCAGCGTTCCTTCCACACGATCCCTGTCAGGCCCCACCTCCTGGGATTCATTCGCACAATAACCCCGTGGGCATGAGGCCGGTCAGAGAAAACTGAAGGGCAAGCAGAAGGGCAATGCGGCAAACACCCAGCATGACACGTGGGCCCGCGGGCCTGGAATCCGGGGCTTTGGACCCTGCGGCCCCCAGCACCGCTCCCCCACGGCTTCCCCTAACCACCCCCTCATACATGAGCTGTGCTCATCGCTGAAGGACATGCGACCCCCCCCCAGCAGGGATGCCACCCCCCCAGGGCTGCTGCTGCTGCTGACACAGCTCCTGAGAGGACCTCAGGCCCTGCCGACCAACGTGTTTTATTCACGAGAAAGAGAGAGCCCGTAGCTGGATGGGGTGGCTGCGTCTCCGCCTCCCAGCTTCTCCTCTGTAACATGAAGACCTTGGCCTGGACGACCTGGAGGCGCAATTCCAGCTCCGGCCATTCGAACAGCAAGGCTGCGCACCTTAATTCTGAGCGACTTAAAGAGCATCTTTAATAATTTAAACTCAATGTTCCTCTGTTCTCTCGTCCTCAAGAACAAAGCATCCCTCCCTCTCGTTGGGGAGCAAATTCAAGGTTATCGTGCAGGATCTGAGAATTTTAAAGCTGGCAGGATCCTGGCTGAGTTGATGTTCTGACACCCTGGTGTTAAAGAAAGAAGCCCAGAAATGGGAGGTGACTTTGGCAGACCTCCCCAACCCCCCCATCCCCCGACACACACGGAGGCGGGCGGAGCCCAGGCTCGGATTTCCCCTCCTGTGATCTTTGCTTTGTGCGCGCCACAGGAATTGGCCTGAATTCTTTTTCCTACCATAAATAATCAGAAATTGCTTTGACATCTTTACCTACCTCCTCTTTTGCTAATTTATTTGCAAATCTGAAAATACTTCCACTTAGAAGCAGAAAAATCTGTGGACAATTCCTAACAAATGACGGGGTCCTGGTCCCGCCTGGCAACACGCTCCTGTCCTCAGCATCTGCGCCCTGTTGGCTGCCTTCGCTGAGCCCGAGAGTCTGTTAGAAGGGAGAACACCACCACCTCCCCCGCAGGAGGACGGCTGCTACCAGAAAGCAGGAAAAAACGACCACTGGTGAGGACATGGAGGAACTGGGGCCCCCGTGCACTGCTGATGGGACAGCAAAATGGTGCAGCCACTGCGTAACACAGTGCTGCTTGCTTAGAAAGTTAGAAGTAGAGCCACCGTACGATCGAGCAATTCTACTTCCAGGTATATTTCCAAAACAACTGACAGCACGGTCCCAAAGAGATATTTGCCCACCCATGTTCATAGCAGTATTATTCCTGAGAGCCAACAGCTGGAAACAACCTAAGTGCCCATCGATGAAAGAATGGATAAAACCGTGGCATGTGCCCACAATGGACTAATGGACTATCATTCAGCCTTAAAAAGGAAGGAAATTCTGGCACACAGACAATATGCTAAGTGAAACAAGCCAGTTACCAAAAAAACCCCCACAAAACTGTGTGATCTCACGCATACGAGGCAGCTGGAGCAAACGCACAGAACAGGCCGTGGGGAGGGGCGGGGAGTGAGTATGTCGCGGGCACAGAGCTCCTTCCCGCAGCTGAGAGACGGTGTGGAGCTGGGGGCGGCGAAGGTTCCTCAGCGTCACTGTAATCACGTGAAGTGCACTGAACTGTACAGCTAAAAATGGTTGAGATAGTAAACTTCACGTTATGTGTATTTCACCACAATTTAAAAAAATGTAAGGGGATGAGGAAAATACTGATTTAACCAGAACTCATTTCAGGAAGACGAATATTATTTGTTTACAAATGTCTTTGGAAGAAGACCTGGGGCCCGGAGGCACGGGAGAGGGCGGCCCGTCTGGCTGCGGCACGTGCGTGGCGGAGGGGCGCCGGCCAGCGGGGGGCGGGGGGCAGGCGGGCTCCTCTTCCCCCCCCTGCTCCGGGATCCCCTCCCAACACAGGCTGCATAAACACTTCAACTGCACAGGAATAAACCGGCCCGGCGGGGCGCCAGTTCCCCTTTCCACGGCCTTCGGCTCCCTCTGAAGTAAATAAAAGGCTCAAGAAAGCAGAAAGCAGCTCATCTGATTTACTGGAGAAGCCAGACAAACCAGCCCGGACACTCAGGGCCCGCACGGGCAGCGCTGACCTTGGGCCGGCCCGCCGGGGCTTCCCCCAGACACATGACCAGGCCTGAGGGGACTATTTGTTTTGAAGAAGAAAGTATCTTAATGCCTCAAGAGTAACATAAGTAAACCGGTAGAGAACAAAACAAAATTTCCAGTCAGACAGCTCTGAGGCACGTGCCCTTCCCTCACCCCATACCAAATACTTCCAATCGGTTGATTTTAATCTCACAATCCGGCGAGAAAGAGCTGCTTCGCCTGACAGGGCTTCATGGACCGCCTGAAAC